CACGTCTCTTAGGTCACACGAGAGTTATCGGAGTGCCGAACCTTGTAAGGGGCAGAAGTAATCACATTCTGAGCCGTTTGCTCGCGATGCCCATGGCTGTGTGCGCGGCAAGCTTCAATCTCAACATGTGGTTTCCGAAGAAGCTAAGGTTATCAGCTTATGCACGTTGGCAGGCACGTGACCCGACCCTTCAGCGGCGGGCCGGGCTCTCACGATCTTGCACGGCGAAAGCGAGTTGCTGCTGATGAAACCAACGGGCATAAATTCTGTTTTAGGAGTGCTGCGCTGTTCACGACGGTCAGTCATCATCATAAGCTTGGTCGACACGTCATGCTCTGGCCGGACTGATAGACAATTTGCCTATACCACTCAAGATAATTTATGATTGCCCTATGCGAGGCAACATGCCTCGATCTGCAACATACTAAGCTAAGTTGCCAATCAGCATCTGGCATGCACGTACGACGGTAACAAAACACGCTGTCACATATGTACGAAAAAACATGCGAATGCTTAGGTTATCGGGAAAGGTCGGGCGTCCATTGTCGTACAATTCGTCGCTGGAAGCCTGGTATAATTTTGATACAAGACATGCGCTGCGGCCAAGCTGCCGAACAGTTTTTGCTGTTATAAGCCCAGAGAAAAACGTCTGATGACCTGCATGTGACTTTCGCTTGCTAGCTGCGCATGAAGGTCGCGGGCCCGCGCTCCCGGCCGTGCTTTTTTGGAGGCGTTCGTCTGTGTCTCGCGTGTGCGATCGGAGATCCACTAATTGCACACTAACTCATCAACCCACATCCTAAGGTGCTCCCGTTTTACGATCCAACATCCTCCCTACCTGTCACAGAACACAAAGTCGGTGGTGCCAAAACGTGCCCTTCAAAAGGGGAGTGTTCCGTTCTCAATCACTCACATTCAAGGCCGGGATGACTAACTTGAGTTACACACGTCGAGATCTACGTTCAACAATCGCTCAACTCCTGCTCGCCCTCACCCTATATCTCGTCCGGCGTTGCCAGCCCCGAGCAGAGATTCTGAGCAAGGCTACACAAATCTCAATAATTAGATTACGAGCGTATCACACTTTGGACTATTTTAACCTCTTGACAAAACGCGTGAACGGCTGTGATAAACTCCAGGCCGTGCGTGTCGGCTACATCCAGGTCCGCGCCCGGAATGTCATGGTAAACGGCGTCCCGGAACAGCGGAACGGACTCGCGGGTGGCCTCCCCGAGTATCTCCTTATCGCTCGCAATCGCTAGCACCGGCTGCTTGACCTGGGGGAAAAGGACGCCAATGTTTCTTCGCGCGCTATACATTGCTGAGTTTTCTGCAACGTCCCTACTCAAAGCAAAAGCTGTAGGGGTGCTAGCGGAGAGGGTGTTGCACGCTGCGAAGAAGTGCTGAACCGTCACAAGAAGTCGTCAAACGAGCTCGATCTAGAAGAGGGCATGCCGTCGCCGCCTTCCTTCTCGAGTTACAACAATCCGTCAAAGTTTTGGTGACTTACAGGATTCAGTACTCAAATAAGGTGTAGAAAAGAGATTGCCGTCCGCTTTTGCAAGTATGCTAGCTCACAACTGTCTTGCTGCAGCACAAGCTTCGCAGATTGGGTTTCGGTCCGACGACATACTCAAATCAATATCTTCTCGAAACAAGTTCTTTCGTCCAAGCACAAGTCAGCAGGCCAGCTTCCAACGTGCGCAAAGCCCTGAAGGATCATGGCCATAAAGTAAAGCTATCAAAACGACGCGATGCCGAATCCGCAGACAAACAGCTTGGAAGCAGGAATGGGCAGCCCGTACACGTCACCGGGTTGACGCGCGTCCGAAGCAGGCGGCAGTGAGCTGGGGACGCTCAGAAGATTGAAAAGCGAGATACACGGAATAAGAGCAAAAGACACGGACAGAGCGTTTTGTGGCAACCTCTACAGAATGCGCACTCATAGATTTGACAGCAGGGCCGCCCACCTGTTCGATCAGGCTCCTGACGTCCGCCCGCCCAATCGCGCGGTGCGCCCACGCTTTCGTCTCTTTGGTCTGGAGCGCGCCCACCAGGAAATCAACCTTGCGCCCGAAGTTCATCCCCGGATAATGTTCACAGAGGAGCGTCCACTGCTGCGCGAGTTCGCTCCCGTCGTCGCTGTACGTTGGCGGTGCTTCGTCAGCAAGCTTTTTCTGCCATTCCTCGTTCAGGAGGGGGATCCCCCAGAGCGCCAGCCGGCGAACGCTGGAAGGGTGCGTGGCGGCGATCCAGAGGGCCACTCCGGCGCCTGCCGAAGGGATAGCAAATTCCAAGAATAAGGGGCAGGACAGTGTGCAGAAATAACCCAGGAGGTTTTACACTAGTCTTGACGCCTTTTCTGTTTCACACCCTCGTTTTCTTCGGCAAGGATAGACAGGACTCACTCCGACTTGAAACTGTCATGGGTTTGCAACAAGAGCATATCCGCAGATAAGTCTTGATAGCAAGAGGGTTCTGAAAACCAGACCAGGTACAGTGGGCCTTTGACACCGGCGCATCGGCCGTGTACAGCAACGTGTGAGTTGTTACGTGTGATGAGAATGTTCCTTCTGAAAGATGTGCGAAAGGAAAGTGCGTAATCAGGATCTGCTCGGATTCAAAAATTCCTCGCTCTAATCAACACTTTGGAAAGTTGATTCAGTCATTCTTTCCTTCCATGTGGCTTTCCTTATGAGGGTTTTTACTCCCAGTTCGACAGTAAGCTTAGCACTTGACACCGCTTCCAAAGGCCGTCACACCGAAAAGCACTCTCCCACCTGTGTGGTGTCCAACGTAGTCCACCGCCTCTCCCAGCCGGAGCGCTTTTACCGCCTCTAGCGTTCCTTCGGACAGCGCCGCCAGGTCCGGTTCCTCCTCCGGACGGTACGAGAGGCCGTGTCCGGGAAGGTCGAGGGCGATGGCTAGGTAACCCTTCTCCGCAAACCCTGGGTTAAAAGACCGGTTAGTGTTCGGTGTCGGTCCCGGTGGTCTGAGAGGATAGGTTGCTCAATAACGTCTGGCTGAGTAGTTGGCTGTACAGAAGATTTAGAAGGCCAATTCAGCTTCAGCGAACTCCTAAAATTCTGATCAGGACCAGAATTGCATACAAAGAGCTTTGTTGAAGGAGAAAAACAGCTATTTTTGATTGTTGAGACTGGTCGGATTGCTTGTGCCTCTCAGCCAACAGATCCTTCTAAAATATGGGAGGTAGGTCACCGACAAGCTGAACAATCAAGGGTTCCTCTTATAAAAGATGAGAAAAGCAGGTTTTCAAGAACTCCATGATGTCTTGAAGAAGGATGTAAAGGGGTCAAGGCCATACCTTTTGCATTGAACAAGCGCTTCTTTTCCTAAAGACATTCCTAACAAAACTCCACTATGGGTGGGAGCCTTCAGTAGTGAGCATGATTCAGGGGTACGAGCAGGATGCCCTACCATCTTTCGTTCCCTAAACTCTAGACGAGCTTGACAGCGGGTCACAGAACTCCACCCCTTTGTGAATTGCAAGTATCTCCAAGCTAGTCAGGGTCGGGCGCAGCAACCAAATATGGTCAAGTGGCAAATCTCTAGAAAGTGTTGTGTGCAATCCATATGATTCACAGACACTAACCAAAAACTTCGATATGGCATCCACAATCTGCTCACCAGGGAGCACTGCATCAAACATGGCCCCCGACTCTGGCGACTGATGCAGCAGGATGAGCGGGGTCGCCCCATCTGTGCCTGCCCTCCTGTAATGCACCTGCCCTTTGGCGGTGTCCACGTAACCTTTTCTGATGAGAGGAGAACCGCTGGACATTGCAACGTTTCTGCTTAGACTTGCCACAGCTTTACTGTACTGGCAGACCGTCTTTTTGAAAAACCTCAATTGACCGCGCGTACAAACAGAGTGTGAGAAAAAGACGCGTTCAAATTTTTGAGTCTGTCAAAGGGCCAGCACCGAAGATCAGTCCCCTTTTTCTTTTTCAAGCGGATTATGAGAGCATCAGAGCGGCAGCCCCTAATGAAGCTCGCAATTACGTCAAGAACCTGAGTCCATTGTTGCGCAGACCGACAAATCCACAGCTCAGCAGTCTTCTTTTTCACAAATCGAAGGCGCTGCAAGTGCTTTCTGCTGCAGCTTGCAGGCTTCAGCTTCTGGCTTGATTCGCAAAAAATGTTCGGAAGGAGAAGACCTGAGCGATCATAGTAGCAAGCGCTGCCCTCGCAGAAGAGCCGAACAGCTTTTCGCACTGCATACTGCAGGATGAGGCTCATACTGCAAGGACCAAAGTGCTCGGCTCAGAGCAGAGGGCGCAGACGCCAGCCAAAAAGCCGGCGCGAGCAGAATTGTAAGCGGGCGGAATCGTCATATCCAAACTGCCCACCAGGTCAAAACGACTTGGCTAGGTCCCAGTACGTTCTCTACAAGTTTCCACCATCGTTGGGTGTCATTTGACCGGTCCAATTGAATGCCCAAAATATCCATTTTAGCTGGGAAAGTCAGACATAGGGCCACTTCGTACTTGACACTGAGGGCTCCACCAGGTTGCGTTGACCCGAAAATGGGTGCAAATGGTAGCCAATAGGCCATACGAGACGTCCACGAATTTTGGTGGACGCGCCCGCGGTGGAGCCCATACAGTCTGCTCGGCACTGGACGCTACATAGTTTGGCTGAGCGCCTGCGCCCTCTGGCTCAGAGTCAGGGGTTCCCCGGGCTGCCGTCACCGGCATTGCCGTAGTGCATGCCGGTTCTTCAATACGTACCTACCTACCTATATGGGAAGGCTACTTTTGGTAATTGGAAGCAGGGTCACCGTCCTTTCTTGTAAAAAACCGGCATGCCGCCGTCACCAATTGGCCCCCGGGGCGGAGAACGTGATTTCGCTACGTGCTCTCGAGCAGGCCGGGGCAATTTTCTGGCAGGAAGGACTCGGAAGCAGCAACTTCAAGGGCGCATCATCGAGGGTCAGGGCCGCAAGCAAGCTAGGGCTGCAAGTGCTCAGCTGTGTCCGACATTGCTGCTTCCCTTCATGTCACCTAAGGCTGGAGTTGCAATTTGCATGAGCTCAGCTGGAAAGCGATGAGCCTGATGATTCCAGCAAGTCTGCTGTTCAGGACCAGCATCCGCGCTGCGTCTCTGATCGGAAGCCGGCCTCTGTGTTCAGCCGCTGCATTGCCAGCTGTTGCGGCCATCCAGGAAAGGACTGTGCATCTGTTGAGGCCAGGTTGCGTCAGAGATGACGTCAGCTCACGAGCGTCACTCCTGGGGGATCCCTCTCCGATTGAGTGGGGACCAAGAGCGTCTTCGTGCTCTGAAGGAAGCAGCACTTTCGTAGGGAGGCGCAGCCGCCAATTGCTGCCACTGACCTTCACAGCTTGTGAACGATTGCACTTTTTGTGCTGTGCTCGGAAAGCTGCTCTTCATTGCGGTCCTGATGTCGTTGCCCTGGGAAGTATGAGTAACTTGTTGGGGAGTAATCCTGTGCTGGGACGTCAGACAACTGCTGCTGTTCACCATGAGGCTAGCGAAGTCTCTGAAGGACAGATCAACAAAAGGAAGGAAAGCGAGGAAGCCCAAACGGGCAACGAAGCGGTGATTGCAACTGGTAGTTCGATCGAAGGGAAAGTGTGCACTGAATGTGAGGTTTGGAAGCCCCTTCGGAATTTTGGGAGACTGTCAAGCTCTGTTGATCGGCGGCAGCTTCTATGCCGGGCGTGTGACGGCAAAGTGCGCGCGCAACAAGCGGGAAGGGAACTCCATCACTCGGCCATGCCGGTCACTGATGCGTGGGCAAGAGCCAAGAAATGCTCTGATTGCAGTCAGGTTCAGGAGATTCGAGATTTTTATCCTCGAGTATCAAGTAAAGATCGCTTATCAGGTTACTGTCGGAGTTGCCACAGCGAAAGGCGTAGAAGATTGCCCCCTTGCTCTGCTCCTGACGAGGCTGCGACGTGCACTCAGTGTTGGCAGGAAAAGCCTGCCGCTGAATTTGTTCATAGCAGATCGAAAAGGAACGGGCTGATGTCGATTTGTAGAGCCTGTAATCGAGAGAAGGCAAAGAACTATAATTTGAACCTCAGGAAGTTTCAAGTGTACTTAAAAGAGGCGCGACAAGGTGTGCACTCGGTGCGGGGTCAACAAACCTGTAGAGTCGTTTAACAGAAACCGTAATACACGTGACGGTCTTCAGAGAGCTTGTAAGGCTTGCAAGAGCATCTACCGCAAAGAGTCAAAGCAGCGGCGGGGATTCGCAAGGCCGCCCTCTTAAACGACAAATATTTTAAGGTGAGGGGCTGTACTCCATGGTTCTACTGCCAAGTTGCTTCGTAGTTTTGGAATGAAAGTAGGATTTTGTAAGGTGTCGAAGGAACGGTGTTTCAAACCATTAGGAGACCTCGTTACATCACTAAAGTACAGCTTGTGGGTGGTACTGTGAGATCATCACTGAGCTGAGGCCTAATGTCAGTAAACCAACAAAGCAGACTTGGGAGGCCGACTTTGATCTGCTTCGGCGTATTCAAGCCCAAGATGCTGATAGGAAAGTTGGGTCACGGCCACACTTGTCATGCAGATGTTGCAATGAGTCAACTGAACATTTTGGAAAAGTTTGCTCGATTTATCGCGTAGATTTGAATCCTGTACGTTTCCACCACAGTCGATTGAAGAAAGTACTTCTCGTCTCCTCCTATCTCTTCACTCTGACAATCTAATTTCAAATCTTGCTCCCCCACTGTTCGACCCATCTCAAAAAGCTCCAAAACTGTTCGAGCCTTGGCTTCAGTCAGCAACCCTTCTTGTGAAAAGGAACCCGCAAGAATCCTGAACCATTCGACTTTCGCGGAGTCCTTCCATCTGTCTCCTTCTCAACATCGACCAAGTTAGCAGGACTTCAGGGACGTCGATACCCGCACCAGAAGACTGTTGCGTCTTTCCTTTTCTCAGGTGGTGCCTGCTGACGTCATGCTCACTTGACGCTGTCAACCCAGATGGCGCGATGAATCCTTGTGTTGACCCTGCTGATTCTCAACGGACGCTGCTCCAGCCTCCCGGCAGGTGCGCGCGATATGTACGACAGGGAAGTTCGGAGGGCTCTGCGAATCTGTTCCACATGCAAGGTCGGTTGCCTGGGTCTCCTTTCCCCCATTTCGACCTTGACCGTTAGGACCATTCTACCCCTCTGAACTCTCTGTTTCTGCCTTTCTTCTCTTTGCCCTCTTTCCACGTTCTTAGGTAGGCACGAGCATCTGCCCCCCTGGACTTCCGATCTGGTCTTGTTCGTTGAAACAGATTCACTTTGTGTTTGGATCCAGCAATAATGTAGACAGGCTGGCTGCCGCCTCAAGAGGGGTTCGTCAGCGGCACTTGCGCTCTTGGCCTCGTGGTTCATCGCCGCTTCGATTGCTAGATCCGGGCTGGCATCCCCAGTGCAAATGGGTTGTGAATCTGCACACCTAATCATGTTTGAAAGATAGGAAGTATTCTCATGACCAGACGAGTCCTTAGCCGACATCCGCACTGGGTGTGCGTTCCCTTGTCTTTCACGAATGATTGATCATGCACATACACAAGAACGCCTTTTCTTGACGGTACTGAAAGAAAGGGGTCAAGCACAGCCTTCCCGCCCTGCCTTCCGGACGTGTGCAGATAGCTTCGATCAGTTGGTCTGGATCTGGAATGATCCTTTCTTTGCTCGATTTACGAAACATTTTGAGAACACCTCATAGGGAGGGGCGTTGGCAGCTTTCCAACCAAATGTCGGTGATGCAAAGGTTTCCCGCAAAAACGGGTTTGAAGACTGACGTTGATGCGACTGTTCAACGCCACTCCACTTAGTCGTTTCGGTCGCATCTCTGGTCATTCGGGAGTGCACTTTATTTAAGAGGAGCAGCTATTGCGATTTTGTCCTCCAACAATTGGAGATTTAGATTTTACACTTACTCTTGCGTTCGCCCCTATCAGCCACCTCCAAATATAAGTCGGCGTTTCATGTGATCGAATTCTTTTCCGTCCTGAACGGAGACTAAGTAAGACAGGGGTCAATATGTCTGAACCCCCATGTTCTGCAGGGCCAGTATGATCGAGTCCTGGTGCAGAAATGCCGGTCGCTTGCAAACTATCAATAGACAGATTGTGGGCGGAAGTTTCCGGACTTTCGCTTATTACTGGCATATTCGTCGGGACTCGGCGCCTGGAAGGCTGGACGGTGCTGCAAAGCGAAGGATGGAAATGGTCAAACCGTCGAAGTGGAAGGCATCTTGAAAACGAGATTTGAGAGGGAAGCCGAGAGCATATGTATATTTATTTGTAATCCACGAAAGAATCACGGTTTTGTGCGCAGATTATTAGCAAATCGCTTGTTAGTTTGGCTCCAAATTGGTACAGTAACATGGTCACGAAATAGTTCATATTCCTGCCTTGCAGTCCATGTGTCCGACCGTCTTTACTCCAGAAGTTGTGTAGTCGGGGATACTGTAGGTGTTGTCATTTTTCGGTATTAGTAGACGCTTGCAAAGTTGTAGGATATTGTCAATTTAACTGGAAAGAACACTCCTCTTTTCATAACTAGATGTCGTCGGACGGTATGCCAGGAGACAATCATTCTGCTTTGAATTGTAAACGGTGGATTGCAAACCCTAGAATTGCACCATTCCCGATTGATTGTGTTCGATCAGATTGTTCTGTATACCACCATCTCAAATGTATATACAGCAGGTTGTTAGATGCTAATTATTGAGATGATTTATTTGAATCTGTCACGCGTGAAGTGGACATGTTTATTTTCATTCACATATTTAGTTTCAGGAGAAGATGTATGCCACACATATGATATATGTGTTACAATAACGTGTTATATATGGAAACATTTTACATTTTCCATATGTACATATTTTATTGCATGAGCAATTCTGGTTAGGTGAAGTAGTGGAAGGTGAACGGGAAAAAGTATGTTTTGAGGATGTTCACACCATTTAGCAGAGTGTTTATGTGCACAGACGCTGTTTATTCTACCCTACGCGTGCCAAAACAACCAACTTTTCTAGCTGGTCAGCGTGCCAAGTATACAAGATCAAACCTTCACCGTGTATTGCAACACTTTGTAATGGAAGTGTTATTCCTATCTAAATGTGTATATTGTCTACCAGATGTGGGGGAGGAGAGGACCCTGCTTGACGACCTCGGTCAGAATGATGCCGGCAAAGCCAAGCATGGCCAACCTGCAACAAGAAATATGTATTGATTTCGTTACATATATCACATCCACCTCAAAACACAACCCGGTCGGAGCTCGCTAGCGGATTTCAGATGTCTAGCTTGCAAGTAAGACATCAAGGATAATCAAAATTTGTTCCTTGTCTGGACACTCGGAGGGTTTACAAGGTACATGAGGCGGAGACGAACGTGCAAGCTTAAGAGGATGTAGTGCTTGCTGTGGTGCAAAAGAAATGTATCTAAAAATGTAAGGAAATGCTTGCAATAGGTAACTTTACCTTCCATTCCACCTCTCAGCCTTGGCGGTGAAAGGGCCAGCTCTGCGGGAATCAGGAGACTCCCTGCAAAGAATACAATTCCGTTTAGAGCAAATCACAACTTAAGGAAACTTAAGCAAACGACCAATCAGGATCCTTTCCCATTCAAGCTGAAACGATCAACGTACACTTTGCTCATGTTCAGCATGCTTTCAACCAATGCTAGAGTCTGTATCGATAGAATGGCCAGCAGTCTCAAGCCAATCGGTTTAGACAATGAAAAACGCGTCGATGTCAATTGCGTTGATTTCGATCGTTGCAAGAAACCCACCTTCGGGAGAAAGGCACCAGGGAGGCGGTGAAGATGAGCTGGGTGATGGCAAAGAACCAGCCAACACGCTCAACAGCCCCAGGGCCCAACACCTGATCCCAGATGGTCATGCCCGTGGACAGCTCCACACCAAGAGCGATGAACACACCAAGCATAGCCAATCTGCAAAATGACGAACATGTCTGTTGATGGAGCATTCAACCTACATGCTGATGGTTTACTTCCTGCTGTATAGATAATGTGTCCCACTGTACAGATAAAGCGTGCCAGTGTTCTGATGTTACATTCATAATAAACACCAGCAATGCAGGACTGGGGCAGTGGATTTCAAGGGATGCATTAAACTAAGTATTTTCGAACGAGCTTTTGCAGTCCTTTCCAACACAGAGTCACTCCACAATTGGAACCAGTGATGCAGCGCACCTGAAAGTAATATCTAGATGTTGAGAAAGAAAGATCAATGTAAATGTTGAGAAAGAAAGATCAATGTGTTTTTACCTTCCATTGATGGTCTCAGGGCCCACACCGTCGAAGGCCATGACAGATCCGAAGCTGTTGTCACCAGTCTCGGGTCTCCTCTCGACCTGTAGGCAAGTGGATGGATTCTGCTCAAGATTGTCCTTGCTCTACAAGACTGGGCGCTGACATTAACACCTACAGTCACCCAGATCTCACACGTTGCAATTCCTCAAGACAAGGAGTGCCATGATGCATCTGTCTAAAATTGGCAATCTTTATTATGTAAAGTAGCAACAATTGATATCCTAAAGAAGCAACCCGAGTCACATGCATCAGGCAGTACACTAATGCAGTCAGGCTCTCAACATGCATAGCCCCCGCATTGAATAGCCCCAGCGTTTTCCAAACAACTCAATCTTAATAACAGCGCTATCAGATCTCTTGCGCTATCAGATCTCTTGCAACCCTTCGCATACCCCACCACCTTTTCATCAGCCAATAAACCATTCCTAAATCCATTAAATGCAACTCCACTATCACCCAGTGTCAGGGAACTTGCACAGTCCAGCTCAGCTGCGATGCATGATCAATCCGCGCAGCATCAATGTAACCAGAAGGCGGACCACCACCATTGCTGGATCTACACCACTGAGTTTTTCGTCACCCACCTCAGGCCTGGGCAGCTGATCGTTTCCAGGGGCAGGCTTGCTTCCAATGACACTCCGCTTCTCATCCCCAGCGTCGCGCTCCTGGCTGCGCTCAACACCCTCCTTGCTGATGTCAACCTTGGTGCTGTCCACGAAGCTCTCAACCTTGCTCCTGGTCTGATCCACATTCTTCTCGGCATCCTTCAGGGGGCTGGCCATGCAGCGGAAAGCACCCCCCCGGATAGGGAGAGCAGGGAGCGCGACAGGGCGGGTGAGCTGACGGGAGGAGGCGGTGAGCTGGGCGCTACCGAGGCCGGCAGCGGCCGCAGTGCGGGACATCATAGCAACGGAAGCCATTGTGTGTTGAGCTGGATTGAGTTTTCTAGAGAATCGTCAGTGATCTGAAACTTGAGAGGTTTGTAGTTGCAGCTTTGAAATGGCAATTGTCCTGATTGTGGCGATTGACCGAAGAAAAGCTGTGCTTTGTAAGGGGCGAGCTGCGACAAGGACGGCAATGTGGAGGCTGTCTCCTTTACCAAGCTAGCTGCTTGCTATAACACTCAGGCTGGCAGATCGCATGGTGCTCAAACGAAGCACATTCCGAAGGAAACCCTGCTTCTTAAGTGCGGAAGATACTCTGAGCGGTCTTACACCTGTTTTTAGAAAGCAGTCCCTGGCTTACCTGTACCATGCTTTTGATTGCATGATGGCCCTGCCAAGCAGGCCATGCAGAACTCAGAGTCACCTTCCAACTTCGGCCGGCCTTTCCACATCATCATGTCGTGCACAAAGTTGAGCTCCGGAATCTGCCACGTTGGAAAAAGCGTCGACAAAGCGTCGACGTCGTGAGCTTTAAGAATTGCCAAATCAGCAGCACAATAGCGGCTTCTGACAGCATTTGCGTAGCCGGATCCGGGCAGACGCCATGGACGCATGCGAGCCGTTGGATCTCTCTCACGTGGCACCCGCGCCAAAAAGTGCAATGTACTTTTCCAATGTGCCGAGTGCACTTTTTGCAAATGATGGATCCAAGCTTGTGCCGCTGCTTGTATTGCGCTTTTGATGCGAAGTGGGAGCTATGCATGCGCCTTCCATCTGGCAGGCGCAAAGTCTGTCTGGCAAGCTCTCATTTGGTTCAGCAAACAGGAGGGGCGCTGGTGGAGATCTGAAAGCATGGCAGCTGTCAATTTTCAACATATCTGCATGCGGAGAAGCCCCATGGGCGATCAATCGGTGACACCTGTACGCCCCTTCCCCTTCTGCCCATGCCCGCATTGAGCGATGTCCCTCCCGGCAATGTAAGAAATTTTGTCGTCCCTGTTGTTGCAGCGTCTTCTGAAGCCCGCATTCCTGCTTTCATATCAACAAGCAGAACTAAATTTCAACAAACCATCCAGGTTGCCTCACTTTGAGAGACCAACTTGCGAAGCATCAATTACCAACTTGCCAACCAAGTCACTGTATCGGCTCAAAACATGGCTTCCGTTGCAGCTTTGCACACTGCTGCCCTCCCAGCGGTGGCCCCTGCTCTTTCTCTGAGTAGCTCCGTTAGCCACTCCACATTCGCTGCCCCAGTGCTCCCCCTCCGCAACTTCCGGAAGGCTTCCTTCGCATGCAGGGCGGCCGACAACCCGGCCAAGGAGGTCCAGAAGGCGGCTCAGAATGTCACGAGCACTGTGGAGAAGGCGGTTGAGGGGACCAAGAGGGATGTGAGCAGGGAAGAGGTGGAGAAGCGTCAGGAGAGCGGGGGCTCTGATGAGAAGCGGAGCGTTGTTGGGAGCAAGCCCGCACCTGGAAACGACCAGCTGCCGAGGCCTGAGGTAAGGATTTGCACTTACTTCAATGCAGTTTCCATGGAAGTTAGCCTAGGACTGCATTTGAGCTAAGTCCAGCTCGTTCTCAGCGAGGCTGTTCCATATTAAGCTTGCAAGCATGGACAAGCAACAGAAGCAGGTTCAATTGGAGCGACAAGCTTTTCGGTGAAGTGGGCAGCTAATACAAGCAGCGCGCAAAGCTTAGTGGACTCTCCCTGAAGTAGAAAAGTGAAGAAGGTGATGGCTAGAGGATATTTGTTAGAACCAATGTGGCCATGATTGCATGGAGATATCGAAACTTAGAAGTCACACGCAATACCAAGATTTTAGAATCTGTTTAGAAAGGTCAGTGAATCTACTCAGGCCAGTAGAAATACTTTGGCTTTGGGGCATACATTGAACCTACAATCAAGGTCGTTCTTGAGTCGTTAAGCCGCATTCCATATTGCATGTGCAACCAAATGCTTCTGTTGCAGAGAGTGGTTGCTTCGAATTCGACAGCCTCTCACCATGGCTCTTGGTCCACTCTCTAGCCCCATTTTTGGGGTTTTACCTTACCCAGCTCAATCCCAACCTCCTTTCTGTACGCAGATTGAGAGGCGGCCAGAGACTGGCGACCGCAGCTTCGGCAGCCTCTTCGCCTTTGACGGTGCTGCGCCCGAGACCCTGAACAACCGGTTGGCTATGACCGGTATTGTCGCTGCGCTCTCAGTGGAGGCCTTCACCGGACTGAGTGTGCGGGACCAGGTTCTGGGACCTGGGGGCTTCTACCGGGTGGGCTGGTTCTTGGCAGCAGTGGCCCTGGTCACCACGGCGTCGCTCTTCCCTCTGTCCAAGGGGTAAGGACGACTGTGATGCTTTTGTTTTATGTTGGTAAAAACGGTCCAATGCAGTTCGAAGTCGGAAACCGCACTTCATATACTTCAAGAAAGCAAGTGTTGTTGTCAGAAATTTCTCTCATTGTTGGTGGGATTCTTTGAAACCTTGCTACACAGAGTTAAGGCAATAGAAGCCTGCCATCCTCTTTTGCAAAAAGCCAGACAACTGGCCAGCATTTGCCCTAGTGTTTCAAAAATGCATGCAGCAAATTTCAAAAATAAACGCAGACAACTTGAGTATCCCCTCAGAGGACACGAATCCAGCCTTTGATAAAGTAGAAGAATAGTGTCTGCTCTATGTTACCAGAAACTGTGATTTGACTCTGACTTTACTCTGTCCCTGCAGTGAGTCGCCTGACTCTCGCAAGAGCGGACCTTTCGAGGGCAAGAGCGAGAGGTGGAATGGCCGCCTCGCACAATGTAAGGACCTTCTACTTCCAACACATATGTTACGGATGTCTGTCTTGCTTGCTTGAGAAAATATCGGGTTAACTAATGGGAATACTCCCTGCTGAGCAACGCAGGAAAGCAACGTGACAAATGTTTTGAAGCAAAAGATTGGTTCGTTTTGGGAAGTCGACTCGCTTAGTACGGAGGTTGTTAAGCGTACAATATTATAGAGAAAGGACTTATCAAGAACTGGGTGACTGGTTTCCTGATCATCAATTCATTCGCCTAATTGTGGATCCGTTATTTTGCAGTGGGCTTCGTCGCCCTTATCATCACTGAAATTGTGAAGGGCAGTGCTCTTCTGCCAAAGCTCTTCTAAGAACGAGACGACAGACGGAGACTCGAACTAATGGGCATGCAGTTTACAGCAAGCGAGTTGTAACCTTTCTTCCAGTCAGCGGGCATTAGAAGGTTTGGATAGTTTGATTGAATGTTTGGACAGTTTTGTGTGTCTGTAAGTAGGGCGTGCCAAACATTTTTGTAGAGTGATGTGAGCGTAAGTTTGTAGGTCTGTACATTATGTCAAAATGTAGAGCACAATCTTGCAAGACATCCGTCTTGCTTGCTTGAAATTCATCTGCTTATATGCTTGTGATATTTACTCTCTCAACTCGGGACGGAATTGTGTACTACCAAAACTCCCGACGGTCGCTCATGTCTTCATGCTGCGTGCAATGCAAGCTAACATCCTGTTCTCTATCTTCATCTCGCGATCGGACCATTTGGCCAGAATGATTGGCTGAGGAAGGGTTATCCAATATTTCGCAATCATGAAATTGAAGTGTCGGACATAGTGGATTATCGACAATGCTTTGCATGATTATGAAGCAAATTCATGATATTGAAACACAATAAACTGTAACTAATACCTTTTGTGAAAACATTCCAGTTGACGAGTTATATCGAAGCATACAATTAACGATCAGATATAATGGGGAATGCAAACACTCAAAGAATACTTGAGTATATATTACAGGAAAAGTGAGGCCGCGCATACCAACTTGCCTTGTGGAAAAAATATATCGATTGAGCTGCAATCGAGTGCCATGGGGCTGCGCAGCTTGAGGGCAAACCTTTCAAACTGAAGTCTGGCGGCAAATACTTTGGTTGCAAACGTTACCCCGAATCTGCGATCAAAATTAAGACGCATAATCCTCCACGTGAAATCTGTAATGCTGATCCTCACCTGCTCACATGCATTGACAAGGACGCGTAGGAGGAGTCGTTAGCTGTTCGCTACGCATTTTGATTGGTTAACCTGTCCAATCCATCGTCAAGATCCCTGCCATTCGAAATTCTGGAAGACCAAAGCTTCTAAAGTCCCAGGACTTGCAGTCACGACTATATCTCTGATCTCAAGATCAGTCTACGTCCGTTTTGCCTTCAATATGTACAAGTCCGCACTTTGAAAAGGACTGTTCGCACACCTTTTGCACTAATATTTACCTTCCTCTCTATCCTCAACGACTTTCTAGGCCCGACCGTTTCAGAACGATTTTTCGAGCTTTTCCAAAATGATGGGCAATCCGTGTCCGGGCTTCATTGTGATATACATCACCGGAGCGTGCCGGTATCCGGGCGCCAGTCGCAAGGAGAAAGTCCGCAGCATCTTGACGAGGATCAGCTTGGCCTCCGTCAGCGCAAAGTTCTGCAAGCACCGGAGATGCCAGATCGTTTGGTACTCTTCGTGCATGTTAGAAATACTCTCTCTGAATATACGTCAGCCCTTTGCAACTTTTCTTCGAGTCGGTCGATCCACCTGAGTGATCCCCAAAGGGCCCAAACATTGTACCTCAAACATTTGCGGCCGACATAATGCCCACGCGCAGGAAAAAGTGGGCGGCTCAAAAGCCGGGGCAAAAATTAGAATCTGCTGCGTCGCCCAAATCTGGTCCGTCCTCTCACCGTCGCTCCAAACAAGCAAAGGAGATGAAGACTTGAAAGTACTTCCCCTTAGCAAGGACAGGCGGAGTCAATCTTGACAGCAAACGAAGAATTGAATCGTCGCCTAACGTCGGACAGGGCTTGGTATCGAACACAAGGACCTCAATGCCACGAGGAAGGGGAGATCCGTTTCCTTAAACGACGTATCAACCTTTTCCAATCGACAGGGCTCGAAAAAGAAAAACCCAACCTGTGGACCTTAACGCCTCTGAGCATTCAAGCCCTGTTTGCAGTCGCCAGCAACTAGGAATATGAGGAAGCACTTGCCTGACCAATGCAATTACGTGGCCCGGCTGAGAAGGGTAGGAACGCCATTGGGTGCTTGGAGGCGGCGGTTATCCCGTTGGCAAATCTGTACGTAAGAGACCAAAGATGAACTTTGTGACTGAATTCAACATCCGTTGAAAACCAACTGGGGGCTTTTTTAAAGGGTCTGGGAACCTCTTCAGGGAACTCACTCGCAAGCGACGGAGCCTTCGAGACCATGTTCGGACAGACGTCGATAGAAAGGAGTTTTGAAGAATTCAGCTGATGCTCGTTTGACGACGGACATCGCCGGCAAGCGTAGTGCCACAAAAAGGGACGACCGCACAGTTACAGATGAGTCACTAGCCAGCCGCAAGGTTGCGTCCATCTTCACCACAAAGCATCGGACACATTCTCACTTCTAAAGCACAAATGTTCCTTTCCAGGCGTAAAATCCGACGAAGTATACGAGTCCCTCGACCATGCGCACTCGGATTTGACCACAATTATCCCGAAATGTTTGACGAAAGAAACAAAGGAGCATTCTATTGTCATCGTCAGATCTCGACTTATGTGATGAACAGACGACTGTAAACGAAGTCAACCTTAGCATTCCCACCTCTCTGGTCGGAAGGTCATGGCGTCTTCGCCCCACAGCGCTTTCCTCGTTTGCATCGGATACGCCATCATGCTGATCTCAGTGCCACGTGGCAGTTTGTAACCCGCCACCTGCGATCACAGACAACGACAACTTTCTCAACTTTCTCATTCTAAATTGCACGTCGATCCACGGCTTATTTGAAGCCTCGTCGCTTCCAAAAATGCTCCCGAACTCAACAACTTATTTCCTCGATGGAATGCTGATCGCTACCCACCTCCAAAAGCACCCGCCTGCAGATCTTTACACTCTCAATTTTTGAAGTAACGTACCCACTCTCTCAAAAATTGACCCTCTTCAACTACGCATATACGGCATAGTATACCATCCCTATTAGGGAGACATAGTAACCAGGACAGCCGTGAGGTTGCCTAAACGTGGGCCCGTTATAGGCGTCCAAAGTAGTGACCTATTTTCAATACATTCCAAAGGTTACGTCTGTCCTAGTGGGGTTTCCCACAATCCAATCCACAGCAGCAACCAAACGGCCCCGCAACCTTGCCGCAAATGCCGGAAGCCTACCTCCGTACCCTTCACAGCGACACGGCCCATCATTGGCACTGGCAGGAAGAGGGGCACGCTCTCCGTTGATTCAACCGTGAAACCTTTGGAAAGGGGTCCACAAAATCGGCCGTGAAAAGCGGGAGCTTACCTTCGTGTCTTGAACGGCGCTGCGGCCCATCTTGGGGCGCTGACGAAATAAGCGGAGGCTGGAAACCAGGAGCACATCTGAAAAGGATTCCGCGAATCTCGCCGTAAAACCCGGAAGCTTACCCCCGTGTCTTGCGCGGCAACGCGGCCCATTATTGGCACTGGCGGGAAGAGGCGCAGATATAAACTTCAAAACTCATGACGGCACCAGTTCACAAAACTTCGCAAAAGCGGCCGTATGACCCGGAGGCTTGCCTCGGTGTCTTGCACGGCGACGCGGCTTATTATTGGCACGGGCGGGAGGAGGCGCAGGCTCTCGTACAGAATACACTGCAGCAGCCGCAGCTTGTGCAGTTCTTCGTACGGAAGCTCGTCCCGCCCCGCCAACACCTCGATAACCTGCGGGCAGGAAAAGTTGTGATGCTGATGTCACGTTAATGACGTGCATTGACGTCATCGGACCGCCACGTCACCATGGCCCCCACGAAGACAGCCCGTGCCGGTATTGTAGTTGTGAACGAGAAGCTGGGCATGTCAAGCTGTAGACTCAACCATTGTTGTGAGACTCCACGGCAGAGCTGATACCATTAGTTCACGTAGCAAATCTCAACAAATTGCAAGTAACGATGATCAGTGAACAAGGGCCCGTGCTTAAAACCCATTGAATACTTACATGTTGCTCCTTGCAAATGCTGATTTCCAGTATCCTTTTTCTGAGATGTCAGCAGAATCAACACCAGGGAACAATGACTGCTGTCCACGTCGGTTTCCAGAAGTAATCAAGAGGCTTTCGGTCCCCCAGTAGAAAGAAAGATCTGTGTCCGTCAGATTGAGGAACCCCGAGGTGAAAGCGTACCTCGTCCCGGGCGCGCCCGCAGTACTCGGGGTGCTTCGTCACGAGGTACATCGTCCACGTCAGCAGGATGGCCGTCGTCTCGTGGCCGGCCAGCAGGAACGTCATGCACTCGTCCAACTGCGCGAGGCGGCCGGCAGGGTTCAAGTACGGAGGTTCCGTCAAGATTGTTTGAGAAACGGGTGATTTGGTGGGTTTTTGGAGTTGGAAACAGACTGGACGGACCGAAGTCTGGTCTCGAGCGTTTTCGAAACGGCTGGAGGAGACACCCGTCGTGGAAGAACAAGGAGCGACAACTAGGTGAGGCAACCAGCTCAGAGCGAATGGAAACTCCAGAGCTCCCAGGAAGACCTCATCAAATTCTAGTGTGGATTTGTACAGAGAGCCCTTTCCAAGCATGCGCGATGAGCACTTCAATTCTCCCTCGAGACTCGTTGGGTAACGCGTATGGCTCCCAAACTTTTGCGAAGGCTAGACCCCAACCCCGGAATCGACTGGGAAACAAGGGTCGGTCCACGGCATTTTCATTTTCATTCGGTCTACAGCAAGACACTCGAAGTGGAGAAAACGAACGGTGAAAAGCAGTTCCTCGTGTTATGGCCTTGATGCCCAGCAGAATGTCTTTAGCGCTAGCTACCTGCGGTAAAGTACAGCAATAATCCTCCCCTGAAACAACCTTGTGCAAGAAAGAAAGCCAAGTTTAAGACAGCAAAGACACCCAAACCAAAGCAGTGGCCTCACCAATTGCAACGGATTTAAACGGAAGCTATGAAAGGCCTGCGCCCTCACCAGAAAAAAGGTACAATACAGGAATAGTAAGATCACCAGGCCTGGGACGGGTAGGTTTAGTTTGGGGGTTTAGGGTGGGTACGGGCACGGAGCAGGTACCTGTTATATGAATGTTTGGGTTTGAGCTAACTATACCTTAAGCTTACTATTTCTAAAGTGGCGCGACATGCTCACCAGTTGCTGGTCCGTCATGCCCTTGCCGGCCGTCCCGTCCGCTTGGTCATCCTGCGCCGCCAGCATCAGCCCCAGCAGGTCCTCCTTCCCTGCGCCCCGATCGCGCTCCGCGCGCCGTGCCTGGATCAGCCGCAGCCCCATGTCGCGCAGCGTCCGCTCGCGCCGCCAGATGCTGCGGTTGTCGGGCGTCGGCAAAAGGCTGCAGAAAAGGGACACAAGCTAAGGTTCTGGAAAGGTGGATCCAGACGAGGATTTCGATTGCCTAAGCGCGCCTGGATCAGCCGCAGCCCCATCTTGAGAAACGCCCTCTCACGCCGCCAGATGCTGCGGTTGTCAGGTGTTGGCAAAAAACTGCAAAAACAGGGAGTGAAATGGGGATTGTAAATCAGATCACCCGCACAAAAGTGTGGACCAGCACAACGGGGAACCTTGTTTTTTCCAGCTCGTATTAGGGCCAAACAAATAAAGACAGCTCGTACGTGAGCCAAACCATATTTGGCAGCCTCAGAAGTGGGTGCACGTTTTGAAAACGAGCGCGCCGTCCGGTTAGTCTTTCAGTCGAGGAAATGGGCCAGCAGCGAACGTCATTTTGAATCACGATAAACAACATGATTTCCTGCTTTGAACAGCCTTCAAATCCAGAAAATGTCCTCACTTCTACAGGCTCAAAGCTGTACCCCGGATTCGAAGACGAGGTCTGCTCGACACGATTCAAGAATGTTGTCGGTACTGTCTTTCCGAACGTTCAAAAACCTTGCTCAAAGCGGGCGCGTCTAGACACCAGGAGCTTTGAAGTATTATTGCAGATGCTGCCTATGATGATTACGGGATAATTACATCTTCAAACCCGGCCACAGCTAGGATCCAAACCCGTTATCATTCCTAACAAGCAACAAACACTTAGCTGACGGAGGGTGACCCGGAAGAAGAAGTCATGAGGAGTTCTGTGAGCGACTCGAAATGCTTATCGAAGCAGGTCAGAAAGCACCCAACTCCTTACCTGTATCCCGGAATGAATACGACCCCGCTGAAAATTCTCGCAACCTTATCCTCCACAAGACGGTTCAGGCCCGTGTAGACTTCGTCGGACACTTTGTCGGACACCGCGTCCCCGGACCCGAACGCCGCCCGTCCGACGACGTCCAGCGTCAATTTCGCAAACTCGCGCTGCATGTCGAGCTCGACGGGGCCGCCCTCGAGCTTCGCACACCAGCGCGCCGCGGCCTCGTCGGCGCATCGCATCATGACGTCAGTCATCGCCTGCGGTCAGGTTCTGAGTGAGATTTCCGAAATTTTTGTAAGAAGGAAAAAGAGCATGAGGTCGACCTGCTTTTGTCTTCTTCCCTCTTTTCGATTTTTGCGTTGTATTTTTGTGCGCCTCTAGGCTTATTATACTCGAGGACGTGGTCCAAACAAGTTGGAGATAAATGACCTCGTAAATGTCTGCACCAGCGCGCGGCGGCCTCGTCGGCGCATCACATCATGACGTCAGTCATCGCCTGCGGTCAGGTCCTGAGTGAGAACTCCGAAATTACAGTACAACGAGGAAAATAGCTCGAGGACGTGGTCCAAAGAAATTGGAGATTAATGACCTCGAGAATCTGCACCAGTGCGTGGCGACCTCGACGGCGCATCACATCCTGACGTCAGTCATTGCCTGCGGTCAAACTTGAGGTGAGAACTCTGGACTTACAGTATAAGCAGAAAACCACTTTGAGGACGTGGTCAAAGATACAGTCGAGAGAGAACAACTTGAAATCTCTGCATCAGCGCGTCAAGGCCTATTAGAGCATCAAATGATGTTGTAAGGATCTTAGGCTTTCAAGTTAATAACATTTTAAATCTCATAACTCAAAAAGCAAATGGATGGGCACCAAATGCTGATCAATAGGGCAAATACTGACGGTGATTCGAAATCTGTTGGGAGTGTCAAACCATAGCTTCTCCTCAGACTGGGAATGGGACTGGTCAGAGCTATCAGAAAGGTCATCCTATTGAAACAGAGTAGTTTTCAGGGGGGTCATACAAGCCCCTCTCATGCATACCTGGTGATGCTCAAGGGTTTGGATCCAGATGCAACGGCACTAGCATCCCATATTTGCCAAGGGTTTGATGCATAAGGTTGTGGGACAGGCAATCAGAAGGAGACAAGACGGCATGGACTGCACAAACCAACAACGTCCAAACCTCAAACGTCAGGACACAACAGGAAAAAGGCCAACCATCACAGGGTTTAGAAAAGAGGCAATTAAGACAGCCCCATCGGGACTTCAAGGAGTCAGTACCTTTATCTTTGAATGACTGAAGGCAGGAGTAATCATCTTTCGCTGCCGCTCCCATGTGGCCCCCTCGGAGAAGACAAGGCCGTTTCCCAGCACACTCAGCAGCCTCCGCGCGAATGGCGTCTTCTCAAAGCTTCGCGCTTTTGTGACCAGGACCTCCTTGATTGCGGAGGGGTCCGTCAGCACCACCCGGATGTTGGTCCCCAATTGAGACAGATAAACCGTCCCGTACTTGGCTTCTGCTTCTATTGCTTGAGGAAAGACAAGCGCTGCGTACTCTGGATCCCTCTTCTTTCTCTGGACATACGCCCTCATCTCCGGAAGTTGCCCGACGAACGGCCGGAAGGCAACGCCCTTGAGACCCTGCTTCTTGAGGAAGCGATACACCATGTACGGCTTTATTAGGCTCGTATACAGGAACCAAGACACGGCTAGAGTCAAACCAGTGAGCGCAGAGGCGCCACACGCAACCACCATCTGTCGCCGCTGCGCACCATCGAATTGGTCCACCCAGCTGCTGCTTTTGCTATGAACATGGTGCAGAGTCTGCTCTATCCAATCCTGCACTGCATAGAAGATGGCCGGTGCGCGCAGCTGGGGACCATCGTGCGTCAGCAGAAGCTCTTGCGCTAAGAAGACAAGGAGAACCACTGCAGCTGCGACGATTGCTGCACGGACGAGAGCTAAGAACCAGAGCATGAAGTCCCCCTCCATGGCAGCTTCGAATGGATTTTAGGGCAGCAACAGAATTTGATATAGCGCCCTCGACCTTGACAATAATTTTAGACTCCGCTGTGCTGCATGCCCTGCCCTCAGTGCCTCAGTGGCGACTTTCCGAGCGGAGTTTCTCTACTTTTCCAGCGCAATGCCAAGACTCTTGGCAAATGGCAAGAGCAGAGACTTCGCCACATATTATACGTCTTTGCAGACTTTGGACCCTGCATGTCTAGAAAAGCTCAGACAAAAACCCTAAAACCGTCGACTTGAGGCGGAAAAGCTCTTGTTCTGAAGCTGGATAAAGAAAGCGGCTCTTGTATGCCCCACAAACAGAAGTCTGTGTCAATCCCGAAAATATTTTCACGTACCACCTGTCGCGTTTGGTTGGTTTTGTTAGATTATAACACATCTTTGACTGTAGACCGCATTCTGAACAAGTATATTGGCACAGCGTAGCACGTGGCACTACAGCGTGAATTTAGCGATTGATGGACTCACAAATTTTCGACGCCCCGTCCGCTTCGGTCCCATAAAATATGCAAACGCACGTTGGCTTCCCGCGCGGAGCCATTTCCGGAAGAGGTGCCGGGCGCAATAAATGGCCCGGCAACCCAAGAGGCGCCGCCAGAAAATTCAAAATTCTCAACGTGCTCCAGCAGAGTCGTTCGTGACGGTCTGGGTCTGGGCCTGGGCTGATGCTGCAGGATGGACTTGAAAGTTTGGAAGTGGAACTTGAAGAAGGGGAATGCATTCCTGAGCTGGTAACCTTCAGCTTGGGTCGTTGTTTGGTCCAGGGAGCAACTTCTGGACAAACAATTGCAAATTTGCACTTGAAGGTGCTGCTTGTGCTGAGGCCACAGCCGCTCAATTGAATCTGCAGGCTCGTATACTCGTGGGGCTGGTTTGCATCTCACAACAATTATGGAATTGAGTGGCGTTTGAGGACGGTGGCAAACAAGTCATTTGCCAGGCTGCAGGTGAGATGCATTCTCAGGATGATGTCTGCTGCACAATCAGGAATCTGTTCCAGCAATGTCTACTGTTCAAGAGAATAGCAAGCAGATGGCACATTGCGCAGGGTCTCACTCTTCTGATTGCGTGCATTGGCATGTCTGTTGAGGGTTTTCTCAAGTACGTGGTGTATTATGTCTTGACCTCTTCCTTTTGAGAAACAACACTGGGCAATGCAGCACATGCAATGTTGTCAGAGCCACTGTATGCATCAAAAAGACTGTCAACTTGAAGCAATTGGAGAGCAATTGAGGGCAATCAAGCGTATGATTCACTTGTCTTTTCTTTTTCTCATTGTTATTTCTGTCATACTTTTCCCCCTTCATTAACATATCTGTTGGAAGATCATGCGGAAAGGAGTTTTGGAAGCAACTATGGCAGGCAAGCTAACAGTGTACTTCCCGCAGCAAACATGGTAAAGGAGCAGCATTCTAAATGGTTACACAAGCAGGACTTCATTCATTCATCTAAGTTTGTCTTTTGACTTGCTGCACCTGTGCGGTTGTCGTTTTACAATGTTCCGATAAGCGGTCTTTGCTGCTTCATATTACCCAAGGAAGCTGCCAATTGCATATAATCAGGGGCTGTTACAAACTTGAGGCTGGCTCTTCTGTTCCTGCAGCCTTCCTGACACAAGCCAGCAACCATGTCGCTCTTCAAAAAGAAATCCAAGACAAAGGAGGCGCCCCTCCCTAGGTCGTCCTCTGGCTCCGCCTACTATCTCAGCAGGCGAGAGATCAGCGGACTCATGGAGAGCTCCAGCACGCCCGCTGACCGGGCGGACCATCAGATCGCCACCGTGGATAGGATTGTTGAGGCTGATGACAATGCAAGGCCAAATCTCCTGGTGCGGAGTATCTCGTCAGGGCCAGGGGAAACTAGGGGCGAGCTCGAAACGGCGCAGGGCACGTTCATGTTCAGTCCTGAGGGCTTGCAGCTACTCAGAGCAAATGTGGTGAAGGCGGCGGAGCCTGATCCTCCTAGAAGCCTGGAAGGCCGTTTGGCTGAAGCGACGAACACCCCTGATGAGGGGGCACTGTTTCCCTCTGCTTTGCAAGAGGGGGGTGGAGTGGTGCAGGCAATGCAGCCCCCCGATGCACGAGCGGTGCCAGAAGCAGTGACCCCAAACCCTGCGCCACAACCACCGATTGATGACAAGGGGGGTAGAGCGCCGTCTGATGCAAAGGCGGATCTTCTGGCTGAGGCAGTGAGCCCCGACACCCTGGACAGCATGCTCCTGGAAGCGGGCCAGGAGAGCAAAGCTGAGCCCCCAAGAAGGACCCTGTTCTCGATCCCAGTCAAGCAGGGACCACCTCATGATGTCAGCATGGACCCCCCGAGCCCCGGGGTCGCAGCAGCATTGCGCCTGCAGGTGAGCTGATATCCTTTGCCCTGGTGGAAGTTCTCTTTAAAATGGGTGCAATGTGTGGTTACAGATATTAGGAAGCGGTGGATATGACTGCCATAAGGTGACAGTCAGCAGTGTGAGAGCAGTTCATGCTTGGCTTTGGGGCTTCAGCTTTAAAACTTTCTCCTCTTCGGCGAATGGCTGTGCATGGAAATCTGGGAGAAGCAGAAGTAAATGCTTCTGACGACTTCTCCTGTGCCATGTGGCTTCTATTGATTGATTCCAGCTAGTTGTGAACTCCAAGATAGAGATAAAAAGAAAGCTCAACCACACCATTCTCCAGCAGATCTACCAGAAACATGTCCAAGATAGTGATTGTTAGCAGCAGTTTGATCATTACTGAGATACTACACAAATTTTTTGACCAGCAACAAGACAATGCCCCTTGTTCACATGTTGGCTTCTAAGCAAACCACTCCACCTTGTTTCTTGTCAAGGGTGGTTGGAGTTGGCGCTCAAACAAGCAGCTGCAGCGTGATGCAGATTTGGTGATATCATGAGAGTTGTTCCAGCTGCTTAACGGGATAAAGCATCAGATAAGGGTCCATGTTTATAAGCCCGAGGTTAATCAGTCAGCAGTTTTCACCCTTGATCACATATTGCTCTTTGAAAACCTCATAATCAGGAGGCTGCATAAGAAGCACTAGAGGCCCTGCTTTTGCCAGCTGGCAGACTATTAGCTGCTCACCTTGATATGGATTGTGAGAAGCTTCAGATAGAGGTAGGGCTCACCGCTCGAGTGTAACTGCATGTCAATGTGGTCACCTCAAAAGCTATTTTGATGACTGCCTGTCTTTCTTCCCCATCAATCTCCTGTCCAAATTAACAGTGGGAGGCAAAACACCAATGCTGTCTGCGGCTTGGGCCTGCAAGACATGTCCGGTTTCCCCTTGACCCCTGTTCTTAAAGCCACTGGAAATGAGCCTTGTCATTTTGCTGAGCCCTCCTAGGAAAAGGCACCTTTGATGCTAAATCACTCTTTGCCAAAACTCGTTTCCTGCTTTACGATCATCGTCTTCCTACTGACATCATCCCAAAGCTCTCAAATGGAGCGAGACACAAGCTTCAACCTCGTCCGTTCCAGCTATGAGGGGATCAAAAGCCTCACGAGGTCCAGTACCCCGTCCGCTGACCTCCTCCGCAACCTGCGGCGCAGCGAGGGCCAGACCTGCTGGAAACTGGCCATTTGCTCGTCAAGCTGCCACCGTAGGTCATGGCCTAACCCACTAGAGTTGATTTCCCCCCCACAGAAACTGGACCAGCTGCGCAGCCTCCGCCGCAACGCCGAGGGCCTCTGCACGAAGCTCTACACGCTGTGCCGTCTCTGTGCATTTGGGCCCCCCGACCCGGGGGGTGCCAGAATGGCATCTCCCAAGGGGGGGGCGATCAGTGTGGATTCCTTCCTCTTTGGCGGGGGGCAGATCCTGCCTGAGCACCCGAAGCTGAGAGCACTCCTGGTGAAGAGGTTTCCGGAGCATCCCCGGATGTTGAATCTGGACAAGGTGGACCGCTCGGCGACGGAGGCGCTGTTTGCGGCGTCGGGGTCGATCCAGAGGGCCTTGGAGCCTTGGTGTCAGGTAGCTACAGCTGGCTTATACTTGTTGATCCTAAAAGGCTTGCTATGTAGCGATGGTTGTCTTGGCATGTCCTGTCCCTTGCTGCAAGAAATTCAGAAACGCTAGGTTGTTGACGCGTGGGTCTCTCATCCCTGTGTTAACCCAAGGGGGGCGAAACTGTCACAACATGCAACGCGCAGAGTGCATTGTCATCAATAATCATGGATAAAGCAGTTCATCTTGAGATGTTGCTGCCTCATGCAATACACCAAGGATGATCCAAGGATAGCGCTTCTTGTTGGAGGACGTCGCAAAGCAACCCACTCTCTTGACAAGAAACCCAATGCTGCCTACCTTTTCCAAGCACTCTGAGGACTTTTTGTGAGCATGTTCTTGTTCTCTATGTTCCTTCTTCATGTTCCGTAAACCACTCATAGGCCTAATCTCCGCTTTCTCTGTCCAGGTTCTGGTCGATCTCATGACCTTCACTGAGCAGTCCATCGTACTACTGGACGAGCTGAGCAGGAGACTGATCGCCCTCTCCCCCGACAGCAACGCCCTCGTCATGGAGGCGTTTCTGGACCTGTTTGTGGCGGTGGTACGGGTCAACATGCTGGCCGGTAGGGTGAGTGGTTTGAACTCCTTTTCAATATTAAACATCGGACTTCATCTTTCCTCGTTCTCTGTTCTCTTTTCTAACATTGGTTTTAGAATTTTGTGTCTGGATCCCTAAAACTCGAAGAAAGCGAAGGACTGCCCCGCCCAAAGCAACTGGATCTATTTGTGAATCCTTAAAAGGGCCCCACCTGCTATGCTTGTTCGTGCACTGGGGTGTTGGTAATGCTGAAGGTAGAGTGGTGAACAGCACTGACCCGCATTGCTCCATCAAAGGTTCCGGGATAAAGCGGCGTTTGAAATCGATTTGGACGCGTCTGGTGCTGGGGAAGTTCTTATCATTGTACTTGACGTATGCTGACGTGCAAAGCAGTCAAAACGCATCAGTAGTGGGCCCAGTCGACTGACAGCTGCGCAGCAAGAGAATCGAGGGACGAGGTAAAACGAACTTGCGTGATGAGGTTGGGCTGCATGCTTTTTCGTTGAGCATCTCTAAGGATGAAAACTTGCTGTATCTTGCAGGTGCCTCGGAAGCTGCTCCTCCAAGTGCATGCGCTGGCCCACTACAACAGCGTCCATTCCAGCGAGTCCCCGGTGGACCCCGGCGTATTCAGTTTCGTGGCTGCGTATGAGAGTCCCGTCCTGGCTCTGCAGAGGGACCTCGAGACGATCGGCCCCCGAGTAGGCGAGGTAAGGCAACACTTTTCCACTTCTAGATGTTTTCGGAATGTAGACGAGCGAGAGATGCAGAAAAGAAGTCAACGGTGTTGTCTGCTTCTGCTTATGGATACTCGTGATGCCGCCAAGTCGGAGTAGGCGGGTGTGTTGGTCAGCAAAGTCGCAACAACGCGTTGTCTCGATGTTGCAGTGGACTTTCAACTTATGGAATAGCAGATGCAGGTGAGCAGACTGAGAAGGGGTTAAAGAATGCTCAGAGCGCTGTCCCGGGATAAGCCGCAGTTGTTCTCGATTATACTAGGCCAATTGTCTCTCTACCACTTTCTTCTTAGTGTTCTGACACCGTTTCGACGTTCTGCCATTTTCAACGTATTGCTGAAGGCCTGCTGTCTGTGTCTATTTGTCAAGATTCAAAGCTAGTATCGCCCCGTCTTACTTGAATTCGTCCAACCATGCGCAGGTCCTCGACGCGATCGCCCCCCAGCTCCTCTCCCTCCTCAACATCGAGACAGTCCGTCAAGACGGCGTCCTCAGCCCCTGGCCCAAGGAAGGCGACGAGGCACCAGTCGACCTCCCAAGCGCACAGAAACAGTACAACGCCTCACCAGCAGTGAAACCAAAGGCCTTGTTGCCGTCCGAAAGCACCCCGATCCGTGGCGTTCTACCTAGCACCCTCGACAAGAACAGGGCGGGAACGGCATCCGACCACATGGATGAGAGCATGGGCGAAGTGAGTGGCGCGGCTCTTGAGGCGAGCGGTCCCGCACTGGAAGGGCGGTTGAGCCGGTTAGCACTAGGCAGAGAGGAGAGCGTCGCGTCGGGTGTGAATAGCCCTCTGCCGCCCATAGGAGTCGGGAACCCCGAGCAAGAAGGATCGACGCCGGAACGGCCCCGCCCGGAAGAGGGCGGCGCCGAGGGGGTGATGTCCAGCGGAGGGGCAGTAGGGGCAATCGGGGCCGCAGAACCCCCCAGCGGAACCGGCCAAGATTCAAATTTCGGGGGGGACGAAAGTGCTGCGATGAGCCCGGGGGGGCAAGAGGCCCAGTCTGGCAGTCAGTCGGTAACGCAGCCCAGCCCAGTAGACTTTTCGAAGATGGGACTTTGGATGGGCGACCGGGGGTCGGAACGACCGGGAGAAGCGTTGCAGGCGGAGGGGCTGAAGAGTTACGAGGCGCACCTGCAGTGGGTGTGCTTTGGGTTTTTGGCGTGCCCGGCGGAGCTGGCCAGGGGGGTGCCCCGCAGCGATCTGAGGGCGAGGCTGGTCGGGGTGAGTCGCTTGCTGTTTTGATGAGGTCGAAACATTTGCACGTGCGAAACGCAAGCAGCTTGTGCAAGAGCAGATGGAGAGGTGTATGAGTCGATGTTCGAGATGCTTGATGGTCAGATATGCGGCGATTGGACTCTCCGGAAAATTGCAAGGCCCCTTAAGCCAGGGCTGACGATCCTAGCCGTTTTGCCAATTCCCCCGCTTGGTTTGTCTCCAACAATGCCGGACACACAGGGGTCTCAGGAGTCGGCTTTGCATTTGCTTCTTTAAAAGTACACGAGTTACGAGCCGGATGATATACATCTCGACGCTTTCTTCGTCTTTGCGCTTAGCTACTTGGATACACAGCAAACCAAGTGCACACACGTGTTCCTCGGTACCATTGCAGGCCGTTCTAAGCCAAGCGTTCCTGGTGCCGCTGTTCCGCAACGAGTGCATATACGTGCACGAGGAGTATGCGCAGTACGTTCTGCCGAGGTTGGCGGACCTGGAAAAGCAGGCCAAGTCGCAGAGGGGGGACGTTGACGAGGAGCGGGCGGCAAAGGCTGCAAGAAAGGCCATCAAGTGAGCGGTTCAGGAGCTTCGCTTCCTGCACATCTCTAAGCGGACTTGCGGAAGGCCGTATGTTGAAGGAGTCCACGAGGCAACAAGATTGCTGGATGTTGAGATAAGGCATAAGAATGAAGCCCATGACCTGCCAGAAACGCCTTCCCAGTCGCTTAAGCGGGTTTTGGATTTGCCACCTCCTGGACCAAAATCATCGTTCTCCCGAGCGCCGCAGAACGATCACGTGGAGCGCACCTTCAAAGCTTTTGAACGCCGGGCTGTGCTTTCTTCACTGCCAGCTTTTCCTTGTTGGCGGCGTTTTGCATGACGCTTTCAAACCCCGTCATTGCTTTGACAACTGACAAGAGACGCTCGTCCGTTATCATCCTTAGTTCCATTCACTACCTGATTCCCCTCTACTTCGCGGATCTCAAAGTTCCAAAGGCCTTCAATCAGCTCCTCAAGATTCACATGAAAGCGGTTGCGTCTGCAGGAACGCGGCGGACGGAGTCGCCGCCAGCTGCGGGCCTATCCACCGGGAGCGGCGAGTGGTGTTGCACGAGGAGCTGGAGAAGCTGGCGACCGCGTTCTCCGAAGTCCCCGGGCTGCTGCCTCAAAAGGTCGAGGTGGGTCGCCTACGGAGCTGAAGAATTAGAAGGTGCTCATTGAAGGCGTTGGTAGTGTTCTTTGCACTGTCGAGAATTAAGCAAGCCAGAGCAGTTGATTGATGCTTCTCCCTCTGCGAATGCCGAGCCTTTGGAGTCGACACCGCTTGAAGCACAGCTACAGTATTTTCGCTTCCTTAGGGAGCTTCTACCACGCAGCATTAAAGTTAAATAAACCTGTCCATCCCCAAACACTTGAAAGTTCATCCACTAGACCGATTCTGATGCCATCTTGTCCAGAATCTGTCTCCTCTCATTCCTAAGACGTGCTCCACGCTCCGATTTGATTCCGCGGTTGGTAATATGCAGCAGATCCGGTCATTCACACTTCTTGCCATGGACATTTATGGTCATCCAACTTTGACACTCTGCCGTCATTTGTTCGCGGAATCAATTCTGTGCCTTTTCAGAACGTATTGGGCGCCCTCAGCCTGGCCCGCACCGAGCTCCACTGGCACTTCCACCACCTGGGCGTGCCGGCCAAAGCGCGAGCGGGCCGCATTCTCATCCCGGAGGGAGTGCCCGACGCGACGGTCGGCTCGCTGCTGAGCGTCACGCAGAAACTGGCGGCCGTCGTCAAAGAATACCGCAAAGGTATGGCGCCGTGCTGGAAACCCCCCGTTCTTCTTGTCACTCTGACTTCGCTTTGGCGCCAGTCAATCTGCGAATGTTGACTTTCACCAGTTTTCAAGTCCAGAATGTTGTGCAGCGCCGCTGGACGTTGTATGCTGTGGGCGCAGATTTTGGCATCCAGTGCGTTTCGAGACTCGAGTGCATCCTCTTGTTCTGCGAGCAGAAAAGAACTCTGGAATTTCAAACTCTTGAACAGGGACCGCGAAAAATGCTCTTGGCTTGCTTGGCATCAAAATTTCCTTTTCTCGCCTCTGTCCAATGAGAACGGCAACGCATTCTCTTGACCACGTTCGACGTTCTTCCCGTACATTTATTTATCAAATAATCAGACAAAGGACCCTCTCAATTTGCTTTTGAACATATCTTGTGACGGAGACCTTCGTAGCGGATTATTAGCACACCCTACCCCACATTGCACCTGACAGCAACAGTGGCCCTGACAAAGCCACAGAGCAGTAGGGGAAACAGGTAGATGATCGCAGAGCAACGAACTGACGAACAGCAGAAAGCAGATGGTTTTCTTGAAGAATGTGCTCAGGCTAATGATACCACATTCCCGTCAACGTTGCAGCGATCCGATCCTACGCGGCGTCAAAGTTGCTGGAAGCCCGGGAAAGGGTGCAGTTCTTCAGCGGCCTTGCTTTGGCGGGCCTGGACGTGGACAGCACGCTCAAGAAGCTGCTGAAAGAGTTAGCGCCGGGTTTGGAGGAGGATTACTTGACAGAGCTGGTCAAGGGGGGGTCTGCGGCCGGGAGCCTACAGGTGAGTGCCATCGACTTTCATTTTCGTTCTTGATTTGCAACAAGTCTTACGCCTGGGTTACTTTCGTTTTTGGTTTGGTACTTAAAGTTGCAGAAAACGGGCTCATCGGCACGACTGGCCATGTATAAATGCAGAAGCCTTCCGTTGCAAAGCACAAACCGACCCCTTACATAAAAGCTCTCAGAGCGCTCTTGGGACTTTGCATACGTCCTGTCCTTGAGGCTCTTCCACGTTATCCTGGCCCCCTCTCCCGGTTTCGCTTCAATCAAAATCAAACGACAAGTACTCTGCCGCTCTTTTTTCTGCCGGTGTTCAGCACTTTCTCACTGCGCTATTGTCCATCTCAACCATAGGTCGTGACAGTGGTTTGATAGAGAACGCTCTCGTTGCAACCAGGCAGCCTGTCGCTTGACCAAAAACGACACTATTTAATCATGTCCACACTTGGGGAAATCAAACGGCAAGCCTGATTCTACTCCATTAAATTGCTGGTCCATCAAACCCGCCCTTAACCCTTCGTTAAACCCGCAGGCCTTCCAGCGGACCTGGATTCGGACGCTGGGCTTGCTGTCCAACTCCAAGTCGTCCGTCAACCTGCGGCACCTCGAGCTTGCCACGTCACAGGGCATGGTTCCTGGGCTCGCTCGAGAGTGCAACCGGGCGTATCAGCTAGCACGGTGAGCTGCCTTCTAGTTGGTCGAATGCGGCTGTATTTGTTTGGTGACTTTCAAAGAACTCAATTGTCATGGAACACTTGTTTCATATGCTGGGTGAGTCCAGATACAGTCCGCATTCGGTGCACTCAGCAATTCTGAAGCAAGCACATGTTAAGCGAATGAAAGACGGGAATCTTGAGTCGTGATTCCCAATAGAGTCTCTCTTGCTGTGCAACGGGCAGCTTTAAGGCTAGTAGTGTGTCCCCACGGAAATTGTCGCAAGGCACGAAGTTTGGCTTAGAATGAACGCTTGGCAGATACCTTCTATTAAATCAAGGTCAATGTGAATATTACAATCGAAAAAACACCTGAGGAGAATCCTGGAGACGTCATGTTGCTGACATGACCACAGCGTCACTGGTGCTGACGTCATCTGGCTTTGGCAGGTGTGTGGACGAATTGGACGCGTTGTTAGACGAGAGCAGCTCGCTCAAGGTCCTGCACTTTTACCAGCCGAAGCTGCTCCTGGTAGGTCATGCCTTGCGCTCATACATCGCTAATTGTGCGATCAAGCGAGTCAGACATGGCCTCGGAGAATGTTCCTGTGTCCGCCCGGCTTTTATGCTCGAAAGGCACTGGTCCCCCAGTAGATCTGTTGAATTCCTCACATGTTACAGACAGGCTGTCTATGTTGAAGCAAACAGAGTCGCGAGCGGAGCGGCATTCTTTTTGCGGGAGTCTGTATACATTCGTTTCGGACGACCACAAGTTCACAGATAGCCACCTTCAGCCGGGTGTTGGGAGTTGTCTTAACCCCTCTCAATCTAAATCTAGGAATCTACTTGGTAAGACCCTCCGCCCGCCCTGCATGCGGACTGAAACATAAAGGCGACAAAGCGAAACCCGTACCCGGTTCTCCGGCCTGCAGGTGCTGCAGCAGACGCTGTACGACCCTCAAGGCTTCTGCGAGGACGCGTGCGCGTGGCTGCGGCTGGCGGACGCCTTCCCGCAGAACGCCCACAAGTCGGTACCCCAAGAGCTTCCCAAGCTCGCAGTGGCAGCCGTGGAGTACACCGAGAGCGTTTTAGAGTTCCTCATGGCCGGCCTGCAGAGTATGGTCGGCGCGCTCGATTCGGAGAGCGGTTGGGCAGGCCTCGACCGACAGGTAGGAAACCCATTGGTGCTTGAAAGAAAAGAAGTCTCCGGCGTTTGCCATTCTCATCTGCTCGGGTGCTGGTTTCCGAAGCAAAACCCAATGTGTGACCATTCTGCAATCTTTCCTTAGCTCCTGGCCAGGCCTGCTTTTGGAGCAGATGCGTTTCGAGCTTAACATCCAGCCTGTCAGCGCGTTTACTTGAACCGCTTCCTTGACCCCTTGAGCGTTTGGATTTCGCCTTTATTTCTCCGTCAATTGGCTTTGACGAGCGCAACGAGCGCCCATCTTCCGACTGTTTCTTTGTTGCAAATCTTAGCAAAGGGCACCTTTCACCGCGTCCTAGTCCTTAGTCCTAGTCCTTAAACGTTTCAAATACCCCCCTCCTTTTCTGGTGTATTACCCTGTGACAATCACAAATCCGCTCACCTCCCGTGTCTCTCTACTTTGCAAATCTCAGCAGAGCGCGCTTTTCACGGTTGTTCTGCCTCCTTAAACATCCTGACATCCCTACTTGTACGGTTCAATCCGCTTCGACACAATTCAAAGAGCGCCCATTTCACCGCTTCCTACCCCTTAAGCATTTGAGGTCCCCTCTCTTTTCCGCTTCAATCCGCGTGGACGGCTACAAAGATGCGCGCCCATGTTCCATTCCCCCTTTTCTCAGCAGAGCGCGTGTTCCACCGCGTCCTTCGCCCCTTAGCTTTCTGCAAATCCCTCCACTTTCCATTACGGATCTCAGTTGAGCGCACTTTCCATGCCCTTCTTAATCCGCTTCTCCACTTCCGCTTTAGTCCGCTTTAATCCATACAAAGAGCGCTCGTTTTCCTCGCAGACCTGAGCAGAGCGCGCCGTCCATGGCTTCCTTCACTCGCCTCATCTCTTCCATGTTAATCCGCTCCACGCACACAAATAGCGCCCTTTTACATGCAGATCTCGGCAGAGCGCGCCGTGTTACGGCTGACCCTCGCAGCCCAGGCCAAGAGCAGCAAGCGGCGCTCCACCCCCAAAAAGGAAGACCTCCAGCTGTCCCAACAACAGCCGGGCTTCGAGAGCGACCCTTCTGCGAGCGATGCTGTCCAGGGGATCGAGGTGGCGGTGCAGCGGCTGACGTCATTCGTGGCGGAGCTCGGGAACATGGGCCCGGTCAAAGTCATGGACCGCGTGTATGCGCCTAGGGAGGTGAGGGGAGCGGAGGGGTTTAAGATTGGATAACGTCAAAGCGTCGGTACTTGTTGGACTTGTGATCAACGGACCTGTTGGGAGACTTCACGTGTTTTGAGAAGGGAAAAGGCGCAGCAGGAGTTGGTTCACTGTTCTTCCGAGATAGTCAAGTTGAAGGCTCGCTGAATATCTTATCTCGGCTGATTTGGAGCGCGGACAAACGATTGCCCTTGTCTATACGACCGCCCTCCTCATCCGTACCTTGCTCCCGGCTAAGTTGCGTAGGAGGCTAAATTGTTTCGTTGAGCCTAGTTCAGATTGAAAGTCCGTGAGATACCTGATCACACCATTCGCCTTTCTTCGTAGAGTTCAGTGTGTGGTTAGTCCATTCCTCCAATCTTGGCCTCGGGTCTATCTCAAACATCCAATTGACCTTGAACTTTTTTGGCAATGCCTGTTCGGTTTTGTTCGTTCAAAGCTGAAAAATAAAAGCTCTGCCCTTTCTGTACCTGTGCGAGCGCCTGCGCAATGTGTCCAGCCTCAACGCAGTCGTTGCAAACCTTGGCGTCCCCCTTAACCCTGACCGTTAAACATCTTTTTCCAGTACTTGCGAGAGCGCCTGCACAGTATCATCAAGGCCGGGTTACAAGAAAACTACCTCGCGGGACTCAAGTCCTTCCGGCCGCCCCAGCTTTTGGAAAACGACCTACGGCGCTTCGAAGCGATCCTGCAGCTCATCGGCCGCCACGTCAGCATTGACGTCACCCGCGTCCTGCGCGAGGTGCTCCTCAGCGAAGCGTACACAGAGTGAGTACTTTATCGAAGAGCCAACACTTGTTCAAAACGGCGGAGAGCTGGTCTTTGACTCTTGACCGGGAGAGTCATGAGTGCGCCCACCCAAACTCCTCTTCTTAATGAGCGCATCGTAGCACGCTTCCAGAGATTGCTCAAAATGTTTGTTGCTTGCTCAACGCTTACTGTCCACAGGGATGCCTCTTGTTTCAGGGACCTTCGGACGACTCTCTCTTAGAACTCCTCCAAACTCTGCTGACGTTCAAGGTACCCTGCCAGTCAGCAACATAGGCATTCGCCCTTGCTTTCCTGGTCGCTTTGCGGTCCCGTCAGGAGCAGGCCATCGAAGCACCGCATCCATTGGTCCGGCAAAACAACCCACACAACCCTGACATGCTCCGTGCCCTCTTCAATAGACATTTACAAGAAACTGAGCATCGATTCAGCGAATTTTGCTCCCATGCTGTGCAGTCGGATGCGCGACCTCCAACCGCCTGTGTCGAAGAAGGATGCGGCCGGGGAGGGGCCCAAGGCGGTCGCGGCTGTTATTGCTGACTGGTGAGCAAGGCAACTTTGAGATCCGTCTACGAGAAGGAAAAAGAGAAAGGGCAACAGCCTTAATGCCTGATTTTGGCAGGCAATCTGGCGTTGTTTTGACGGCTTGGTTGAGCATTGAATGGAGCGTCGAAAACAGTGTTTACAAGCGTTGGGTTCCGGCATCTGAACGAACGGCAGGGTCAAAATGTTGATCAAGCATATGCTGAGGTTTGAAATTGGTGGGTGCCCTACGCTTTGGAGTCGCAGTACCTGATCCGGGTGCTCGAGTGAAGCCGCGCCTCCATCCAAATGCGTCCGTGAACACTTTTTGCAAAGCGGGTTCTTGCCAGCCCCTGCTTTACTCCTTGGTTGCGGTCAGTATGTACGAGAAAGAAAGCTGACTAAGAGCCCACCGAAAGCAGACAGACTTCATCACACTAAGCAGGTGCTCACCTTCGCGAAAATCAGCTGTCGAATCTGCATCGCAAGAGCATCTCAATCATCGCAGGAGCATCTTATCATCGACTGCATCGCAAATCCTCGTATTGTGCAGCTTTTACCTCCAAGCAGAGCAGCATTGGCCCTAACCTTGTGGTCTGCCACTCCTTGCAGGTACATTGACTTCATCGTCCTCGATCTTCGAAATGCGGGCATCATCTATTCTCAGTCGACGAGCGGCTTCACGACGGGAGGCCACTCGACCGCCTTGGTTGAGCAGGTCGGTCGCTAGCTGCGATTTCGTGACTGCCCTGAGTTGTTAAAAGATGTGCGGGACTTGTTTTCTAGCTTAATCATCGGTACTCTTCCGGACAGCTTTTGACAACTATCCTTAGTAATCTTGTGACAAGTAGCACCCTGGGAACAAAGATGGCTTGTACCTGCAGTGAAGTTGTTTCTAAGTGTCTGCTCTTTATCTCGTGGCCCTCTTCTCCAACCCTAGCGCATCCCACACCGACGCTCACAAGTCCACGTGTCTAATCATCAGCCGACTCAAAGCGTCAAAGCCTTCAACCACCCATTCCTGTGCGTCGCCATTATAGCAAAAGCTCTACCCGACCGAAGATTGAAAGTCCTTTCCGCAATCTTGAGCAGGTGACGCGCTTGGAAGCATTCGAGTCGCTGCTGCGGGTCTTCGGACCTTACGGAGCGGACCGGTTGATCGCCAAAACGTACGAAATAACGACGCTTGCCATCCTCAGCCTGGAGGTAAGTGATTTTGTCAAAGGCTTGATCGCTCTGAATCCGTCTCGTTTACCTTCTAGTTTCGAGCCCGCTGACAGCATCTTGCTCGTGATTTTCCCGCTGTTTTTCCATCGAGAGGATCCAACGGGTCACTCGAACATCCCCCGTCCGCAATGGACAGGAAGCCCTATTCCCGCGAGCACCAACGTGCACCAGATGTCTCACCGAGTGCGGGGTCAGTCGTAGGCCGCCAATGTCTTTTTCTCTTGGACTTCGACGTTGCCCCTCTTTTCGCACTGGGGCGGCTCGGCAGGAATTTTCTCTCGTACGCATCACCCATCTTCTTCTGAATATATTGATGTCTCTCCCAACTTAGTCATCTTTGCTCCCGAGATGCTTTCCTCTCCTTCCGAAGAGTGCGTGCTGGACTAGTCCATCTTTCCGTTCCCCAGCACTCGGAAATCGTCACGACCTTGTTTGTTCTAGTAAGAGAGAAAGCTTTGAAGCCTTTGTAATGTTACGCCTTGTCAGAAAGCTGCTTTACACAATGACCGGCGTGCTTGCAGGCTACTATTCGCAAGGAACAGCCGGTCCTTCAGGAGCTGCAGGCGAACTTCCATTTTCCGGAGAAGCGGGCCAGGCTGCTCTCTAGAGTCACAGGTACATAACCCGCACCCTAACCCTTTATCTCACCAGTCTGCTCATTCTCGATTGGAAGGCTTGCCTACTCTTGTTGACCTCTACGTTGGAAATGGTGGTTCGCCGTAGAGTTGGCGGCTTATGAGTTGGACACGACACAGCGTTTGCGACGTCTTTTTGGCCAACTCTCTCGCGATTCTCTCTCAGCAAAACAGCATGCGACGGTATCCTCGGGATCGGCTCTGATCCTGCATCGCGTATCTGAAATGCGCACCAAGCATTGTCTTGACCTCGGCCACAAACGCCATATCTGTTTAAAGACAGTTGTTCCCAGCATTCATAGGACCGTCAAGAAAACCCGCTCCAAACACGCTCCGACGAAGACCCTCTCCTAAACAGGTAGTGAGAACCCTGTACCGGCTGATAACCCTTTTCAACTTAGCTTTAGTGTCCTGGAATCCAGCTCGCCCTGTATTGAAGCACAAGCGTCAACCAGCATTTGAATCAGAGCAAACCAACCCGTCACCGCCAATTTCCTCTGTATATTCTATGAGCCCGGCCAAAGTTTCTGAGTATCGAGATGGTGTACAAAGGAAAAATACCATGTCGGCCCGAAATTCTGGCTTAACACCGACACAACGCTCTCTAACCCGAGACAAAACCCCTTTCCCCCAGGTATCGAGAACGTATACGCGCTGACGACCCAGGTCGGCCAGTGCATCTCCCTCCGGGAGCAAGTCGCCGACGCGTGCGCCGCCGTCATGAAGCAGCATGCGCCCCTTATTCACACCGTCCTGGGGGACGCCGTGCGGTGTCTCCCGCCCCCTCTTCTCCCGGAAGGTGTTCACGCGGCCCGGCTGCGGCGGGTCGCGCACAAAGTCGGGGCCGCGGACCGGGGGGACGATCCGCTCGTGTATCAGGCGCTGACTGGGCTCGGGAAAGGTGGGTTCGGGCCGCAGTGACTAGTGGCTTGTTGCTTTGCTTGAAAGGGAGAGCGGTTTGGTCGGAACCCTTTTGTTCGTTTCTTATAGTTGGACCCTTCAGTAACTTTAGAAGTGGGGATGGACATCTTGCCCGACAGAGAGGTTGGAGCTGGTGCTTCTTTTTCTTGCTCTGCCGTCTTGTGAAAGGCTCTGTCAAGCGCGAGAATCGACAGAGCTCAGAGCTATGAATAACTCCCTGCCACGTCGACTTTGAGGCCTCGTACGTTGTCAGCGCCCCTGCCCATTGTGGACGACAACATCAAAGGAAGGGCTGCTAAGCAAGGACTGTACGTCTGTTTTCTCATGTCCCGACGCCGGAGCGTATTCACACCCCGCTTTCAATCTGCTTGGCAGTCGGCGACGCAACCTGGCGGCTGCTGCCCGTCCTCTGGGCGACCTGCACCGGCAGCTCCTTCTGGAAAACCGCCCACTTTGACGCGCGCACGCAAGGTGAGAATGCGGATCTGATTTTACTGGTCGAAAGAAACTCCAGGGACTACTGTTTTGCTGGGTGGTAGATTGATGCACCGATAAGACCGACGCTAAACGGCTTTTGCTGCTGTTCAAGTCTGGAGTCAAGGCAGTGGTTATGCGAAAAAACCTTGAGGATTTTTCGAAGAGGTTCCGTCGCCCTTACTACGTCTGAGATGTTTTCGTTGGACGAAACGGTCCATGTTGGCCTTCTGGCCCAAGCTGCATTCTACGGATGTTGTAGACCTTCTTCCATAGATACCTCCTCGGAGTCTCGGCGAACTTTAACATTCTCTCTCACGTTCAGTTCGGAAAGCAGGTTGGCGTGATGTCTTCCTTTCAATGAACGCATAAAGCACTAATTGTTGCATCAAGCGGAACTCAGCGGTCTGCCTGCGCTAGAAGTGTATCGTGGGCTTGCTTCTCTGCACAATTTTCCCGTCGGACGAACCTTTCTTTACATTTGATCGTTGGAGAAAGCCTTTTCCAACCCCCAATTTCTGGTTTTATGGAACACCCAGTAATTTCTGGCTCTGGTTGCAGCCTTCAGCAACGATGCGCATTGACTTCCCTTCTCGGTCGGTCGGTCATACACAATCCAACGCCTCTCAACTCAGGAAAACGAGCGTTCGTCACTCTCACATCCGACCCCTTCTCTCCTTGCCGCAGCCTTCAACAGCACCGCGCATGGCTCCTACAGCGAACCTCCATTGCCAAGTGTCCGTTCACATTCACAATCCAATGTCTCTCAAACCGTGGATCTCGCGGGGATCGAAGTTCCTCACTCTCATACCCGAGTCATCCGCCCCTCGCTTGCAGCCTTCAGCAACAACGCGCACTGCTTCGCCAAGGACCCAAATTTTTCGTTTTTCGTTTTTGTTTTTGTCCCCTTTCTTTGGTTTTTCCTTCCTGACACCCACCCTGGTCTTCCGCAGATCCAAGATGTCTCGATCCAAACCCAACCCTTCTCCCCTCGCTTGCAGCCTTCAGCAACAACGCGCACTGCTTCGCCAAGGGCCTGCAGGCGGTCCTGGCGTGCGCGGAGCGCGTCGGCTTCGAGCGGCGCGAGCTGCAGTACCAGCTCGAGAACGCGCGCATCAAGATGCTGACGTCAGAAGGGGGAAACCTTGTCGAGCAGCCCACCGAGAGTGACGTGAGCTGGCTGCGCATCTGTTTATGCCATTTGTCATACGTCTGCAAGAACCGTCTGTTGCCAGTCACTCAAAATGTCCAAAGCCTGGCCTGTCAGAGGCTGTGGTAGGATCGGTCCCCAAGTCTTGTCCTGCGTTTCCTTTTCTCGATCTTTGATGACGTCAGCACTCAAACGCGCTTGTCTGGCTTCCATTCTGCTTCACATTCACATTGGTCAACGCTCTCCCAAGCCGCTCGCACAATTTGTTCTCCAGCATCGACAAGTACGCCGACCCGCATGTAACATAAGCGATCATCCGAATGTCTCTTCTGCTCATCCCACTGACGTCATCCTCGCTCGTTCAGGAGGCCTCTGACGTCAGCACGGGGAGCCCCTTGAGCGAGGTGGTGCGCGGGCAGCTGGGCAAGTACGTGGCGTTCACGGTTGCGCTCACTCTTGCGGACTGGGACGGCCACGGGGCTCCCGCCGAGATCCGGCCCGTCATGACCAAACTCATCTTCCTGGACCAGGTAATTTCTGAAACTCTAGCAGATTTTAAAGCGAGTAGCCTTTCAAACAAATTGGCTGTTCTTTTCGGAGATCCCATATCCGGGACAACAGCGAAAATTCCCAATCACTTTTGGATTCTGAACCAAAAGCCGTATTGAAATGGATCGAGTATTCTTTCGAGATCGTCGGCAGCTTGTTTCTGGCGCTTGTAGGAAGGACAACGTTGAGTTGTCAGCAAAATGGCGGTCACGTGGAAATCTTTCAACGTCGGATCGGAGTGGAATCCTGCAGCTTACGCATGATGCTTGTGCTCTGATTTATGTTTGGCACACTCTTTCTGAGACCGGTTTATGACCTCTCTGTTGCTCTCCCTGCAGTTATGCGAATTGTCCCCTCACCTTTCTCGGAGCACTCTCGAGCAGCATGTGCCTCACACGCTGCTCCGCTCTATTTATCAAGCCGAGTACACTCTACAAGCACTACCGGTAAACACGCAAGTCCCAGCAGCCGTGCAGAGTGGAAAAGGCAGCAGCATGACAGCACGTCTTGCGTCATCTTAAGTATAGTGTACAAGGCGGGGAATATGAGTTGAACAGTTACAGGTATCTTTTATCTGGTTAGCAGTGGATCTGTCCGAGGTAGTTTGGAAACCTGAGATCTAGATTTAAGCGGTTTAGCGACTCGAACGCTGGTGCTTTTGCATTTTGCTGCAAACAAGCGGGCTTGCAACATACTGGTAAGATATGTAACGAATAATAGCGGCATGCCTGCAAATCCATAACGATATGTTAGCACGTTTGAAGGGCTACTGGAGCCGCAAACCTCAATCTGGAATCTGGATGCTAGCTAGAAGAGTATGATAGGAAGGTTTGTGAGAAGTTTCTGGGTCTCACTGCCTTGGTGGCCCAATATTATTTTTAGAAATTGGAGAATCTTGATGTCGTCTGAGTTATACGTCCAATTGGTCGTGCCCTCGTTGACCGCTTTGGAAGTCACTTTGTGTCCGTGCTAGTACGACTCAGCTTGCACATGATTGGTTGTAAATAATCTAGCTGCTTTACATCTTCTGCATAGGGCGATAACGCATGCATGCAGTGCAAGACCACAGGTAGGTTGCGCGACGCGGTTCTGATCCCGGATCGAACATTGATGAAGATCATATAAAGTAGCTTGCATGCATGTGCTCCGGGCCCATGCTAGATATACTATTATATATCAGCTGGCCCGATCATTACATCACATGTACAGTGATCTCTTGAACTTGCATGATTGGATCATATAATCCGATGATCCCAGTCACTGAGTCTCTCGATCATTGAACGCATTGCCAGTATTCGCTTGGAATCTAAAGTCCATGCCAGCACGCTGCAATGAAGTGGAGAAACTGTTTAACTTGTTGAATGGTGCAACTTTCCGAGTTCGTTAGACAACACTTGCGGATGCCTGAATCACGAGATTATCAGCACCGTGACTTTGCCTCATGCTGTCCTTCGAAGACAAAAGAAGGACTTGATCAGCGTCTGCCCTTGCGTTTGCCCTTCCGACTTCGCTCTTCCTGCAAACTCACTCGCAGGCACGCCAGGCGAGCTCGACTTCGGCTTCTTCCCTCTTGGTCCGCTTTGTCCTGTGTTTGCAACTCGGCTCCCGCCTGGAATGGTCACTTTTCGCTTCCCCCTTGGCTTTTGGTCCGTTTTCATCTTTGCTTGCTCTATACTTCGAAGAATGTATGCTTGCTCCCTGCTGTCAATCGCCATTATGTCAACACTAATCTCGCAGCTATGTACAGTGCATTCCGTAGACAGACCGCTCGTCGGGTGGGGACCTTCAAAGGTTTCATGGCCCTCCTCCTCTGACGCTTGGGCGCAAGGGCGCACTTCGCCATCATCTTTTCGGCCATTGCACGTTGCAAAGTCCACATTCCCGTGATTACTCTCCTTCTCGAGCTCTGCCGTTCTGTTCCCCAATCGACCCACTTCGGTGCTTATCTTGCCGCGCTCGTCAGAAGGCAAAAGCGCGCCAGCAACAGATCTCTTCCGCGCTTCCTGCTCAACCCCTTCTGGTGCGCAATCGCAGTCCCACGCACTCTGGGAAACCGTTCCGTCACCAAGAGGACTGTCCGTCACTTTCCCCCTAGCTTCGTCCGTACACAGTTCCGCCTCACGGGCGGTTCCGCCGGAACGCAGCAGCCGGTCCACCGGAATCTCTTCCCAGGACCCCCCGTCGTCGCCGTCCTGGTGGCCAATCTGCCACGTGTCCGAAACCTCGGCCGCCGTTTCATCTGTGTCCGAACCTTCGAAATATCCCTGCGAACTCTCATTCCCAACCCCCAGATCTCCATCCGCCCCTTGCCCCCAACACTCAGCAACTTGGCCCCCTTCATGCAAGTTTGCTTCTCTCGTCCTTCCGCCCATCCTCGATTCTGACCATTCAAAACCCCTCCCCTCCTCTGGCCCCAGCCCCTGTTTCTGGCCCCCAGAGTCTCCCCCGCACTCACTCTCCAAGAAAGGGCGGCTTATTTTCTCAAGAATTCCGTCCGAGGCTCCCCCGTTCTTAGCCGCATCACTTTCCCCACCAGTGGCAGCTTCCGCCCAGTTCTCAGTGCGTCCCTCGCAGGCCTTCTCTAAGCACTCATCTCCCAACCCCGACGCTACTTCCTGCTTACATCTTCCATCCGCGGCTCTCGCGACATCGACTGGTTGAAAGCTGCTGGTGTCTAGACCTTCTTGAAAGGCCGATTCTTGCGTCTCTTTGAACCGCGTTTCCTGGCCGTGAGACTCGAACTGCATTCCACTCTCCCCCCCTTTCACCAGGCCGTCTGTAGCACCCTCCCATAATAGGGTGTCCGATCCCCCGTCAATGCACTCTTCTTCGCCTCTCTCGGAGACCTCCTCGTCAAACTCGCTGAACGCGGCTTCCTCATCAGGCCCCTCGCAATCCAAACCTTGGACCCCGATAAGCTCCTCAAACCCTTGGTTTTGCTCCGCAAACCCTTCCTTCCGCTCCTCAGACCCTTCTTTGAGCTCCGCAAACCCTCCCTTTCGCTGCTCAGAGCTTTCGTTTCGGTTCGCAAACCCTTCGATTAGCTCCTGATACCCTTTGTTTAGGTCCTCAGACCCTTCATTCCGCTCGGCAAACCGTTCCTTTCGCTCCTCACACGCTTCGGTTAGCTCCTCAAACCCTTCGTTTCGCTCCGCAAACCCTTCGTCCCGCTCTGATCCGCAGCCCGCTTCATCTTCTCTCATCACCGAAGCTTCCATTACCCCCTCCGACAAAAGCTCTGATTCTCCAAATTGCGGCTCGGCCTCTCCCGCAAAGGTGACCTGGTCCTGCATCTTCGCAGACGGGCACATTCCGTTCAGACCCCTTGTCCGGAATGCGTCCGCGCTTTCGTCCGGACGCTTGCTCGCACAAACGTCAGGGCTCTGCGTGTCCGTGGTTGGAAGGCCGGAATCTAGGCGTTTTGCGGGGCGCGGCCGGAAGAAGGCATCGATGCGGTACCTGGAGAGAAGTACTCGTCAGCATTTGCGAGTGGTGTCCATTGTGTCACGAAGTCATGACTCTTGTGTTGGTAGTCGGAATGAGCATACGGATCTACGAAGACGAATACAAGCTGCACAGGGCAGAAACACGCTTGTCGCAAAAGATTCCACCAATAACCCTGCCAAGGACTAATTTCGATTGGTGGGTCGGGCTGCAAGCAGTCCGAAGAGTCCAGGACCGACGTCTACTTTCCAAAGAATGGTTGGAAAAGAACGCGCAAAATGCTACAATGCCAAAAACTCTCGTTGAAAGTTGGTGATGGTGCTCTGCAAGCGTACGGTCCCGTAAAATCGTTACACACAATTCAGACCCACCGGGATCCAATCCGACGGAAATTCTGCTGATGGAAGACGTACAAGCAGAGAAGCAAGGCAGAGAAGGTGAAAATCAAAAGAATGGGGAAAGAAAAAGGAAAACGCACCTATTGGCGGACAGGTCCATTAGGTCCGCAAAGCGTGCTACCAGATTGGCCGCCTTCAACCTGCAGCACACTGGACTCGTCAGACAAAATGTCACTGCAATTGTCCTCCCCCTTAGCACTCTCCGGTCTTCCAGGATAAGGAGGAGGTCAATATTTCAATTCTGCTTTGGAGTAACGATCTTCAACCAGGATTACTATTGGTGTATGCGCTCTCTTCAGTCTGGTAATCGTGGTCGATTCTTTGAGAACCCTTTCAGATTCTGGCCAATAAAGTCATAGAACATGGCCGTACGACTTTCAGAATCTGTGACGTCAGGCAACAACTGCAGCCCACCACACCCGATACAACAAACTTCGAGCAAGCAATCGCGCAGCAACTGGGAGCTTTCCACAGCGTCTAGAACGTTCGAGGACAGAGAAAGCGGGAAAAGAAGCGGAGCCGAAACTGCTGGGGCTCTCACTTGGTGTCCGCATTAACGGTGGGGATGATCTTGCGGGGCCGGAGGGCCGCAATGCACGCGCGCAGGTCGTCGAAGCTCGAGTGCTCCTGCAGTTGGTATGAGTTGCTTACGTCACTTCGTATAGGAAGTTATTCAGGCAGTGGTGCTTTGACAAAGACTACCCTTTTTTGCAAAGACGAACCGGACACTCAGGCAGTTCACTGAAGTAGGTGCCTGGAGTAAGTAAGGCTATGCGGAATTCGTGTGAACGAATTCCGCTGCTGGGAGTTCGTTCAGATGAGTCAGGCGCTGACGGAGATTGTCAAAACGCGTGCCGTCTTCAAAGTTATTTTCAGGTGCCCTGACGAAGGATGGTCAACGAAGTCGTGGAACCGAGCCCGGTGAGGGTCTCATCCCGCAAGATACTCAGCTTTCAGACCCTGACCGATGCGGTGAGCCGACACGATGCATAATAGTCCTCTGGCTGACGAACACTCGAGCTTCGCAGTCATTTCTGCCATGGCTCCCAAGCAGAATCAGTGATTTGAATTCGAATCTAGCGTAAGAGAATCAAGAACCCTGAGACTGGCACCGGCACCAAGCTGCTGTAGTCTAGCCACACGCTTGTGCGCCAGAAACGCGTGACCATCTGACGTGCGTCACCTGGTGCGCACTTTTGGGAATTCTCCTAAGAAATCTATTATACTTAAGTCACATGCGAACGATGGAAAACCTAGACCTGAACATTCACTTGCACCGCAACCGTGCCCACCCTTTACCCCCTTACTAACCCTGACAATCCCAGGCTGGACAGTCATTGTATGTTAAGCTGAATAAAGGCAATTCCGAGACCAATAAGTGCTGGGGCCTCACCGAGTAGGGCACTCCATACACGGTGGCCAGCCCCTGCTTGGTGGTGTGCACACCGTCCTTTCGGAAACTCCACCCCGTCGGCTGCGCACGACAAACAGAAAAACTTCTGCTTCTTCGTGTATTGAGCATCGGGAATCAACTCTCCAGGCTTTCTGGCAGCAACCCGAGAGACTCGTTCAGTCAGTATATTACTTGGGCTTCGGATCGATCAAGGTCTGAACACTTTTTTAGAGACTACATGGCTTGCTTTCCCCCCCGGCTACTGGGTTGCAAACGCCGACCCTTTTTTCCTGAGAGCTGCATTGAGTGGTCTCAGGGGCCTGCTGATACGAGCTTGAGGGAAGCTCAAAAAAGGTTCAGTGCTTTTGCGGCAGGACACTGCTTGGGTAAGATGCTGACACAAGGCTTTTACGAACTCATATGCGGATTTTATTTGGAAACTGTCAGCCTCGTGCAGGAACCGAGCGCAGGCACAATCGAGCAGGGTTGGCCTTGACACGATGCACAAACAAAACGGAAGCGGAGAGACGGAGCACTCTTTTGGCTGCAAGCAACGGAAGCCCTGCCAACGAAAGAGAGAAGAGGGTTGTTGGGTTTTCGCGTTTGAAGGTTGAAAGATTCTCGGATTTCAGTTTCGATGGATTTGATTTTGAGGGATTTATCAAGAGCAATGAGAAGTTAAAATCTCGGATTGCGGAAACTAGAGGGGAGGGCTTCGTCAGCTCACTCTGAAGCCGATGACCTGGGCCCACTTGCCGCCGCCCTCCTTCAAACGGCGCAGCATAGCCGGTGGGCGAACCTCCGACATGAAGCCTCTGCGGGGCGCGGTAAAAGCGGGGTAAGACGCGTGGCGACGTTCTGAAAGTGGTCAATTTGGCACGTCAGAATCGTTGCAAATCGGCCCGCAAACGTCGATGGGCGACTTGCCGAGTCAAAAGTGCTACAAAATGGCCCGCTGAAGACTCTCTCAAATCCTGGTTCTTCTCCCAAGATAGACGCAACCGACCCCCAAAAACGGCCAGTTAGCGTATCCAGGAATCCTCAAGCAGATTCGCGGCCTTACAAGGAAGGGATCGGTCAGTCTTGATTCTCTCCTTTACCATGTCTAGCCAGTATGAGAAAAAAAACAGATATCGAAGCCCAATCTCTGTCTTGATTCTCCCCTTCACCAAATCTAGTCTGTCAGAGACTCAAGCCGGAGATCGAAGCCCAGTTCCTTGCAGCCTCACAGGTGAATGTCTGCATCGGCCGCGTTCGGTGTGAAAAGGTCCATATCTTGCAGGTCCAGCAGAGAGAGGATGCGCCGCTTGCGCGGCTCGATGTGCACCCGCAAGCCGAGCGCCTTCGCGGCACCGATCACCGCGCGCTCCTTGCCGATCTGGTACGCTCCAAACACGAACAGCGGCCGCGCCTCGTCCAACAGATGCTTCCGGCACTGCGGCAGTGAGGAAAAACCGTTGATTCAAACCTGAGATTGAACATTATGAAAAAACGGGCTCGTATTTGGCAGGAGATTAGAAGATACGGGAAACTTGAAAGAAACTTGACCGTCCTTCTCAACGGAACGACAGCGGAGCTGTTTCAAATCCCAACGGCTGCAACAATGTTTCCGCTGGTTGCGTAGCCCGCGACGCAAGCATTTTCAAAGAAATCCGGGAAAACATTGTTTCAGAGAAGCAAAAGCGTGACAAGACACACCGAGTCTGTCGACACACCGTACACGGATCACCAGAACGTCGGGGAGTCAGGCTGTTAGCATCTCGGGGCTTAGAGCTACTCAGCCAAGGCAGAGATTAAAATGGTCAAAATCGTGATAGCTCCTGAAAGGCCTTCGGGGAGCGAGCTGGAAAGGAGCGGGGGACGCACCAGTCTCACGGTTGTCGCGATGGCGTCTTCTTGCGATGGGAAGGTGTGGCGGGGGTAGGCGTACCTGCACAATCACAATACGTCGGGATGTAATGCTAATGAGATGCTGATGTCATGCTCCACGTTCTGACGAGTGTCCTGTCTGCCGTGAGTGTGAGCAAGCAACTGAAGATGATTGACGTTTAGGCTCTCTCAAGTACCTTCTTCACAGGTTAAGCACAACTCGAAGCACAAGAAAGCAACCTTGTCGTTCTATTGCAGCGAACAAGGAGCTCAAAGGAAGATAAAGTCAATACTGTGACAGGTGGGTTTACTGGGGGGTTAGAGTATGTCCGTATGCAGAGCGAGCAATCTTCTGCGTTAGATTGCTAGGTCAAGGGCTCACGTTCACAAAGCATTTGCTCACAGAATCGAGAAGTACAATTTCGTCCGATCGGGTTATGAAGCGTTTGGGTGCTCACGTGGTGTCCAGATATATGGTGTCAATGAGCGTGTTGCGCAGGCTGGGGTAGTCTGCCATGCGCTCGTGGTATCGAAAGTCTCCCGTGTGCAGGATTACCTGCGCCGGCCGCCCCCCGTGACCAGGTACCTGTTTGAAGGGACGCAATAAGGTTACGAAAATGAGCAGCTCTCTACGTACGAACGATATGGCGCCGCCCGGCGCAGTCAAGCAAACATGTAAATGTAAGAAGGAAGGTTTGAGGCAAAAAACGAATCAGAAGATGAAGGTTCTGAACCGGCATGTCAGCTGATTGGATCCAAACAACTTGACCCGTGCGTTGCATGACAAGAGTGCTTCCGCCACCTTGCACAACCTCATGACATTGTACGGTTCTACCCTTGTTGTGCGTCCGTAGCGAGTCTTGCAAGGTTCGTTTGAGAGGCAGTAATGACATCTAGGAGACGGTACTATCGTTGAAAAGAGAGACAGGACGGTGGAAGAGGGTCTGCAGTTGACCAGTCCAAGAGGAAGATTGATCCCTTCTCTTGGAAGTCTGATATCCAGAATTCCTCAAGGTGCCACCTTGATACCAAAGTAGTTACCCTTCGGCTGGGTGGCCTTACTTGAAACCCTGCTAATGTAAGATTCTGATTGGTCTGTACTCACCGCTGAACATCCAAAAGAGGCTTGGGGGATCATATCAAAGTCACCAGCGACGAGTACATTGTGAGCATACTTTAGATAAAAACCCAGTGGAAAATATAAGAGATACACGTGATCTTTTTCAAATGCCGCCAGCCCTTCACAGTACGAGCGGAACAGACAGAGGCTTCCCACCTTGAAAAGGAGCATGACAGATCCGGGGCAGTGGTTCGCATCCAGTGCGGTGACTTCCACCCCATCGATCGTCACTGTTTTGTCCATAGGCAGAACCTGGATGCAGTCCGATCGCAGCCCCATGCAGTTGATCAGCAGCGCGGCAGTGATGCGCGAGCAAAAGATGGTCCCCGAATTGAAGGATCGGTAGAGACCAATCTGGAATGACGGGAAGACGGGGCTTACAATCATGACTGTCCCGGGGCTTAAGCGACTGGACTGGCTTGGCTCGAGGAACTTCTTGCAATTGCAAGAGGACTGTCGCCTTTCAACTTGTGTAGCTGCAAATCATGCTCTTTAAGCGAAAGAGCTTCAAGATCACGAAATGCCGGTGGCGGAGCTCAACTGACTAGACTGGCTTGGCTTGAGAATCTTCATGAAGTCGTCATGAGGACTGTCGCCCTTACATACTCTGTAGCTGTAAATGGTGCTCTTTGGGCAAAGAGCTTCAAGTGAAACATATCAGGTATGGGGTTTTTGGAATGGGGCCTGCTAGAAAAGGGAAATTTTGAGGACATTTTCAGGAGGGCTTCAAGTGAAACACATCGGATATGACAGTCAACGGGGCCTCCAAAAGGGGGCCACAACAGTATTGGAGAATTTCGATCGCTGAACTAATATTCTTCATACTGAGAAGCTTTGGAGAAGAAAACATGCTGGGCTGATGAAGTAAGGTCCACTCACCGTATGATCACTGTGAAAGTGGGTCAGAAAGTAGCGCCGGCAGCGCAGGTTCTGAAACTTGAAACCATCCACCTGCAAGAGTCAACGTTTCCGAAATTTGTTTAATTCAACGGCCCCACGCGCTGCAACAGAATTGGCATCGGAAGCCATTGATTGGCAACTTGAAGAGCTCCTTGAACTGGAGGCAGCAAGCCAAACAACTAGAAGTTCCTGCTACAAAATTGGCAGAAATAACCAACAAAACATGAGCTCCAAAAAGGTTGTGAACTGACCCAATCCTGGTGTTCGCATTCAGGAATGGAAGAACGCAAAGAAGAGCTTCTGTTCTTACCATGAAGTCCGTTCCTGCGATCCATTTGATGGCTTCTTGCTGCAACGCCATGGCTACTGAAAATCACCAGCTTAAAAGCAGCTTCGCAATCTCAGTTCAACCCCAGCAGCGATGGCCATGATCGTAATGCTCTTTGTTGTATTCTCGGGCTTGAAGGTTCGTTATCGAGCGCTATAACCTCTGTCAGCCAGCTTGCTGTACATGTTGTAAAGCTACGAACAAGAGCACGATCAACAGCAGAGGTGGACAGACCGCCCTCCACATACTTCTGCCCTTTCTCTCCCTACAGAACTTCAGAAGCGCCATTGGCAGTGGCATCCCGCCCACCTGCCCACCGCCTGACCGAGCTTCCTGACGGTTGACTCTGATGTCACGATGCAGAATATTGCGACCGGGGATTAGCTGGGTCGATTAGAATTTAGGGAGGGCCCGGTCTAGTTCTCAGGCATTGACAAATTGGCATTGAGAGTTCGCGGGTTCAAATCTTGGCTGCGACTGGCTGCGACGCCTGTTGCATGCTTGAATCTTTCTATGGCGATCCAGCTGCTGAACCTGAGTCTCCGATCTGCGCTAGACAAAAAGTTGTGTAACAAGGAGTCCGGGCAAAAGGGGTTGCAATACAAAACGCCTCAAATAGTTCAGATGTTTGTAATGTGCATGAGGCTTTCCTCTTTTCCTTCTAGCGTCCGAAGCGCGCGGCTCTCTGAGGCTCGGGGCCGCAAAGTTTTATCCCGCACATTGTCGAACAGCCACCGTTGTGCAATCTGTACTACATGTACACGAGAGCTCTGAAGTTGGCGCCGGACAGGCCGCGCGACGGTCGGCAGACTCTGGCGGCCGTGTGCACAGATTACTATGATGACGCCTCATGAATTCCGCTTGCAAGCTCACGAGCTGGCAGCCAAGTTCGGCTTGCATATATAATCGTGTTTATCGCATGCTGCTTGATTCATGCACCGCCTGCCAGCACGTATCAATTGTTGTGATAGTCCTACCAAACTCCAGTGATCGTAGCTACTTGTGACTGAAATCGTCGATGCATCGTGGGTACATTGACAGACTTACAAATGCTATTTATCCAATGTGGGACCAATATTGGACCAATTAATTTGCCAGGCCGGGCGCCAAGTTGGTTCAATCACCGCTTGCAGCAAGTCGTTGGGGCAAGCCGAGCAATAATACATAGGGGCATGACACGCGCATGACACAATCGACCATAGACGGGCATGCGGGATACTCTAACTTTCCGTCTTCAGTTCGGGCTCACCACATATATCGTTGCGTGCCGCTCTCATGAGGCCACTCAAACGTTCTTCGCAGAAACAAGGACACCGCTCCAATATCTAATATTGCAAACAACACTAACTGCAACAACAACGTCGGTCGTCTCCTCTTTGACGGCATTGGCACGTGCAGGGCGGCCAAAAAGAACGGAACGTTGAAGTAACGGAACTCGATGAGCGGAGCGGGAACAAGGACGCCAAACGTGGCCATCAAATAGAAGAAGATCCAAAGCGGGCGTTGTGTCTTTGCTGCAAGAGAAAGAAAAAGCCACAGTTTTGTTGACACCTATCACGGCTGTTTGGCCCACGTCGGTAGCCACTATTTGTATCTCCAAGAAACACCAAGAAGAAGCCGCTGCAAGCTCCGCCATGCAACCATCCCATATGCCCCATACGTGGTCCCTCCATAAGTGCACAGAACAGACGGCTTTGGTACCTCGTTGGATCTTTAGAAAGAGCTTGGGTCAGGCGGGGGGGATACCGTACTGCCATTCCCATTCGCACTAAAATGATTATTCTGAGGCCACTGCGAAAAGGAATCAACTAACTTTCAATCGAGGTGCGAAAATGCGAAATAAGAAAACAATTAGAAAAGACACTTTTCCGGCTGTTTTAAGTAGGGAAAAACGAAAAAGAGGACTTTTGCGAAAATTTTAAAAATTCGTTGAAGCTGGTGCGAAATAAAAAAACTTCAAAAATAAATATTCGCACCAGCATGGTGCGAATGGCAATGACAGTACCTATAATCAAACTTTTCTACTGTAGGCAGGCCAGATCGGAGGTTTGCAGATCTAGAAGGACGAAGTTTGGCCCAAAATTGTCTCTCGAAAAAGCGTCCGGTTTCCCTCACCGAGCGACAGAACAAGCGACGTGGCTGCATATAAGTAGAACGGCACGAGCAGATACTTGACTGCCACGTGGCGCTTGAAGATCCACCGCCAGAGGTAGAAGGGATAGTGCCGGTTGTCCGCGAGCAGGTATGGGTGCTCGATACTGCACGAATACAAGTTGTCTTTCTGAAACAGAGAAAACCACGTCGAAGTCGCCCTAATGCCTTGTCTTCCTTCTCATCCATGACAGTGACATGCTAGCCCGGTAGCTAAGAAGCATAGCGGAAGACGGTTCTTTCACAACTGCAGATCCTTCAAGCACCGGCCCACGACTCCAACCGTTTTCGAGGATCTGGAAGTAGCTCTGCTCAGATTCCTCCAGATTATCAAGAATTGGGACTGAAACCGACGTAAAGTGCATGAAGCGCTTGCTGAGACGCACCTGCGACTGCGAATCACTGTCAAGCGCGCACCAATTTTCAGACAGCGCTGTTCCGGGAATCGTTCGAGCACCGGAATATCCCACTTGCTACCTGAGTTCATCAATGAGGTAAGGAAAACCGCTGCAACAGCGGCGAGCGCAGGCGTTGAGACGCGACTCTGTCCGGTCTCCGCAACCGGCATAACCCTCGAAGCAGCCAGATTGCCACTCAAAGGTTGTTCTGATCAGACAATATACAGAGGTGAGAAGCCTCATTCTCACTTCTGTCGAGGCCCGGTTGGGTGCAGCGCACGATTCTTCGACGAGGGTTTCGCGAGATTCATTCTCGACAATGAAAAGGGGAACCTTGCTAGTGCTTACGTGAACCAGTGCACTGCCGCCAGCGCAGCCAGCAGAAGCGCGAGCGTCCTCCCGGGCGACCGTTTGACACGTGCGATGCCGTAAGCAGACACGTGGCTGACGTGGGCGGGGAGCAGCTGGACGGGAGCGAGCGCGCAGAAGACAAAGGCTAGGCAGTAGAGGAACTGGGGCATGTGCAGGCTCATCTTGTGGGCGTCTTTGGCGCCTGCGCAGGAAAAGTAGTGTCAATGCGCTTGGCAGTCCCTTGAGACTGGCGTTTTAACACAATAGAAAGTGTTGAAGGCCAATAAGCCCACGTTTCTGGTCAAGTTGACCCGAACAGCTTGGTACCGCCGTTATGCACCAGGTTCCATCCGCTGGCGTCCAAGAACACTGGTGTTAAGAATCATCACAGTGTTTCGTAGCCAACAACGATTGACACTATGTTTCGCATCTTCCCTCTGGAAAAGGAAGGTGGCCGGGTCCGGGAGGATTTTGTAAGGCCTCTTCGAAGCGAAGACTTCTCAGAGACAGCATCCAAGCGGTCCAGAGTCGCTCCAAAAGAACCAGCTTGCAGCGCAACCATGCGTCCAATGAGGGTCACTGTTTGGAAGGAGCAGACTCTTGCTTTCAGCAGAATTACCACTTCTGTCTCCCAACTTTCATTCAGCTCTAAATCGGTGAAGTCTTTGGTGTGACAATTCTGCCGACTGCTCACCCAGCACGATGCCGCCGTTTCGGACGGCGAAGACCACGAACGCAGCAATAACGAACAGCAGCGGGCCGAACGTCCGCAGAACCGCCGTCCGATGGGTCCAGGCTCGCTTAGCCAGGGCCCACAGCGCGAGCGGTGACACTGCATCGCAGAGGGTACAAACACATTCTTTGTATATCGCGTTCCCTATTTGCATGTCTTCGAATGGAACTGCTTCTCAGCAGGCTTAACATTTGCGGTCTCAGTTTCAACCGGCGATAAGTACGATCGAGCGGAAGTCTGAAACTCCAGCAACGACGCACAAAAACGAAGAAACGGGCTTGGAGGTCTTGGAAAGCTTTCCTCAGCCTTACGCACCTGAACGTAACGCCTGGAATGGTGTCAAAGCGACACACCTGATTCGGTCTTGTTAAGGCTCCGCTTGTCTAGCCGGTCGGACGGCATCCCGGATCCGGGGAGTGGCCAAAGAACCTCGGTCGCCCCAGTACACGTCACAAAGAGAGCCCAAACCACGTTGGTCTGGCGAAAGAAGATGGCGACCACGGCCAGCTGCAGAGAAGGAAAATTCTATGGCTTCAAGGGCTTTATTGATGCAGACCGGTTTGAAAGGAAACGAAAGGGAGGAGGACATGGAGTGGTTACGGAGAGGTTAAGAAACGGGCACACAGATTAGAATTGCAGGATTCGTGAGAGGAGAAGAAACAAGAGGGTGCTGCTCAGACGATGCCCATGTACACTTGCCTTTGCAGGAATTACACTGCCAGGAACCACTTGTCAAAGTATATGAAAAGGTAACGAAGAAAACGCAATTGATGATCATGGGGGTTTGGACTTTGGATTGATTGTTATCAAGAGGCACCACAACGAACGCCGCCAGCAGGTCCAAGCATGGTCTGACTTGGCACTCTTATGAGCTGCTTCGTTTGGCTGGATCAGCATGTCGATTGCATCAAACTTGTCTTACTCAGCAGACAGTATGTGATATCAGTGATGACCATTGAAGAACCAGGATGATTGCAGGAACTCAACAGCCAAATGAAAGCAAACACGGCTCACCAGCGCTGCGACCCAGAATCGGTGCCTCAGTGTTGCCAAGTACATGGCCGCAATTGCCGCGGTCGAGCCAACGTCCGTGTAGAACAGGAACGCAAAGAAAAAGTGGGGGGGATAGAGCACCAAGGCCGCTGCTTTGAAGAAATCCTCCGTGCTTGGTTGCCGTCTGTTTTGAAGATCCCCCACAGAAGCGGTCCCAATGGAGTCATAAGCGGCTTCACCAAATTCATAACCAGGCCCCCCAGGCCCAGTCTTCCTCCCTGTGAGATCTTCGATTGCGGCGGCTGTGCCGTTCTCTGTGTGGTGTGTTCCCCTCCTCTTTGCCACTGACAATTTGCCGCTCCCAGCTCTACTAATTGTCTCTTTGCCCTTGTTGGCTTCTCTATACGTCTTGCTGTCATTACTGCCTATCGGCTTCTTAGATTGCGACTCAACTCCGTTGGTCACTGCGATCTGGCCCGACCCTAGTTCCTGGCTCCCGCTGTCAACAGCTAAAAGGTGCTCCGCTCGCAACCGCACCTCAAAGGCAACTTCTCTAAAGAGCAGGAGGCAAACTAGACTGAGCACTATATTGACAAACCGCAGGGCAAAAAGAGAACAAAGTGGTCTGAAGGTGCTCCTAATGAACTTTCCTTGTAGTAGCTGAAACGCAGCGGTCCCAGGATAGAGAAAGGACAGCAGGAAAAGGGCAGCGTAGTAGAGGCCTGGAAAGGTTGTAATCATGGGGTCCCAGTAGGAGAACCGGCCCTCGCAGAAGGCCTGGCACTGGGGGATGTGGAAGATCTCGTCCTGCAATCGAGACGCTTAATTTGGCTCTTTGCATAACATTTGTGGAGGCCTGTTGTTTATACAGACTTCAAAGGGCACTTTGGTTTCATCCCCTGCCTTAAGATCAGTTGCGCTTTTGTAAATGTATGAATCAAGAAAGCGAGGAAAGAATCCGTCAGGGGGTTTGTAGATCACAGAAGTGCTTTAAGGGGGCCACTCGCTTGCGGATTCATCCTGCTAAAAGACCTGGAAGTACAATCTAGTGTCACTTGAAAGATGCTGTGGGGTATGTTCGCAATGCAGCCACTGATGCTTGATGACGTAGTTCGCGTCAACAATGTAATCAGAGAAGGCTGATGACGCAGTCATTTACTAGCCTGCTTCACGCAATAGACTTGAAGCAATTTGCAGCTATCAAAGTATGTGCGTGCACCACCACGTTGCACAGGAGCGAGTACAGTATTGTTGATACCAGCATCAGCTCGTCAAGCTTGCATCACAATATCCAACACAAAGGCGCCCAAAGCAAGACAAAGGCTTACCATGTATGCCTGTGGCACCTCCTTTGCAAAGGCATACGCGATGCAAACATAGAGGACGGTAGCGGCTCCCCAGTACACTCTGCTGAATGATGCCATCTCCATGGTGCAAACCACTGTGTTCTCCAATTAAGCGATAAGCAGCCTCTGCAGCTCAGTTTCGCTGCCACCAGCGTTTCCAGCTTGGAGCAGCAGGCGCCACCCCAAGCATTGGCCAGATTGTCAAGAGCTTGTAGAACACATTCTTGAGGTGGTTAACTGATACTGCCCCTCTGCGGGTGAATGCAGCTTCCCGTCCCCTTCTGTCCAGAGACGCAATAAACTCCTGAGGGCTCACCATCCTCTCCTCCTTCCCAGCCTGTGCCTCTTCCACTGCACTGATCTGCTAGCTGAGCTTCTAGTTATTGATTTAGCACGTGTTTGAGTAACCCGATTTTGGTGTACGGAACGGCATCAGCCTGCTCCGGTCGAACACCAGCTGTAGAACGAGTGAGCATTATTGCCAGCGGGGCCTCCCAAATTCAAGGATTCGGAAGGAGTCTCTCTATCCAGTCTGAAGAACCCTGATTTCAACCGTGAGAACTTTGATCAGCTACTGTGTTAGGGTATCGTCATTTTGTAAGTGGTAACCCCCCATTCTTAAATCGACCATTTTTTTCGAAGCCACCTTTCTAGGACCCCCTGGTGTCCTCCTTCGGGCGACCAAGACCCAAGCACCCCCCCCCCCCCGGCTTGTCGGTCACAGAACTTCTTCGGGCCACTTAGCCAAGATTTTCGCAATTTTCCCCGCTTTTAAGTGTAGAATTTTGAGAATTTGATTCAAGAAAAGATGCATACCGGTACCTAATTGGGCACGCACATGCACTGTTTTCTGCATCTTCTCAACCCAACTGTGCATTCGGTGGAAGACAAGAAAGCCCACTTTCTGGTCGTATTGAGTCCATCTCGATACTCATTTTGATGATTATGTGGGTATTTGACCAATCAAGCGCCTGTGCTTGGACCTTCGGCCCAAGCCTCAAGCCCCCCCCAGGGCGGCTGAAATTCAGGAGTGAAGCCTCTAACGGGTACCCCCTATAAAAGAATGGGGGGGTACCAGCTACAAAATGACGGTACCCTTACAGAGGAGGGAGCTTGACTGGAGGAAGCTAAGATCGCTAGCTGGGGTTGCAGGAGGATCGTTTTCCTCAAATCCATCCAGGGGCTTGGCCTTTGGTTCTGATTGAATCAAGCTCTTTGGAAACGTTGCGCAAACAGCGCTTGTACGCAAAGAGAAGCGATTTGGGATCCTGATCAAACATGTGAGCGCCTGTTTGGAAAGTTGTGGTGCATCTTATATGCAAGAAGAGGTTTCAAACTTGTGATTGGGGCAAAATGGTTAGATCTGTGGGCCTGTGGCAGTTGTAAAGTCAGAGTAGAGTAAAACATGCATTTCTCAAAAGGTCATTTTCTGGGGTGATGGCATTGGTGAAGCTGGATAGTATGATATCAAATGGAAGATGTAGGTTCAAGAGCAAGTTCTCGATGACAAAGTCTGGTCGGATGGGGATGCCTTACAGGTTTGGTTTGGGTCTGGTTTACAATCTTCAAAACTTGCTTCAGTATTTCTAGATAGCCCCATGGAAGACTCGAAGCTGAGACTATTTCGTCTGGAGGTAGTTTGGCAGCGTCGTTGTTTGTGACTAGCTGGCACTGGGTACTCAATGGCTAGCGCATGCCGGCGAAAGTAGGTTGATCAAGAGAATGTGATGATTTAGGGTTTCTTCGTCATACCAGCTGAGTTGGAACACCCTAAAGGTTCTGTATGCTTTTGGTCGCACTTCGATCGATCTGTAGTTGGTGTTTGCCCGTTTGAAAGGCGCCTTTACGGGGTCCTTCTGGTCTTCACGAAGGGCTCAGCTCACTGGTTGAACTTTGCCTTCTTTGCTTCGCTTTATGTGGCCCATGGATCAAATAAATTCATTCCTCCAGAAATGCTGGGCGCGAGATTCCTGAGGAAGATAGTCCAACATATTTTGTCCAGCAGCTCGCGCGTATCATTGTGTAGGTCTAAGGTCCCAATCTGGACTGTGATGCTGTTCAAGGAATCAGCTTGTGCCCGTCGGTTTTATGGTGGCGTTTGCTCCTTCGTCTTCTGTGTCTGCAGAGCTTGGCCTGTCGTTCTTTACTGCCAGTGTTTGTTTGAAGGAAAGCACGGCATTCTGTTCAGTTTCAGTTCTCACCCGCACACACCATAATTCATTGGCGGTCATTGGCGAGTCTTGGACCTTACGGTCCTTGATTCGTTGCACATGCAGCGAGAGCCCTTGAGGTGTGGTTTTCATTGACACGCCTTTCCATCGGAGGCAGGCTCTCACAGAATTGAAGTCCTGGACAGAAGCAATTGAGTGTTAAGTGTTTATATCTACTCCCTTGGACATGGTGGTCGAAATCTGGCTATTGCTGTCCCTTCTGTTTTATCTGGCATGCTTCACACACTTGCAGCGACTGGCACACCTTGAAGAAAAGGTTTCTGGATTCTGGATTCGGGGATCTGGATTTGGGTTTTGGGTTTGGAGTTTGGGGTTTCGGATTACATTATGCCTCTCTTGAATAACCTTTCTCCTCCGTGCAGCGCAACCATGGCGATCGGTCTGAGCAGCTTCGCGGCAGCATCGTTCTTCGCCGCCTGCGGGGTCATCTACCACGCCGCAGCAACGCGCGAGCAGTTCTACCCGGCCATGCTGTACCTCGCGAGCTCAAAGCTCTCGCTCCTAGTTCTCTCCAATCTCGCGCTCCTCCTCCTCTTTCTCCTCGCCCGCTGCGTCAAAACCATCTTCCTGGGGCGCCTCCGCGAGGCCGAGGTCGAGCGCTTATACGAGCTCGGGCGCCACGAGCTTATGGAGACGTGCCTCGCGCTCACGATCTTCCGGGACCAGTTCGACTCCACGCTCCTCTTCATGTTCTTGGCCCTCATCTCGGTCAAGCTGTTCCACTGCTTGGCGCACAAGCGGTTGGAGTACGTGGAAACTACGCCCGCACTGCGGTTACTCGCGCATGCGCGGCTGCTGCTATTTCTGTTCCTGCTCCTGACGGTGGACTTTGCGTGCCTCAACTACGCGGCGAGCCGCACGCTGCACCACCTGCGCCATGGGAACCGGCCGACCAGTCTCCTCCTCTTCTCCTTCGAGTGAGTGCTCCGACCTGCTTTCGTTGTTTTCCAGATACGGATTGTCCTGCTGTTTCTTTCTGTCATGAGCGGCATACTGGATTCTTTGCTGGATTCTTTTGCATGTTCAGAAATATTTTGGTGACTTCAACCGGTTTGCTTTGAATTTCCTTGTAATTCGAGCTCTATCGCGGTCATTTGTTCTGTTTTTGTTCTTCTGAGAGCCTGTGAAGCCCAAGTACGAGTAACAGAATAGATCCGTGTCCTTATCGATTCGTGTCACACTTTCCAACACTCGTACTTTCTGCACATTGCTCTCCAGCTAGAAGGAACGACGAGCTTTCGTAGTACTTGTCACGGATCTTACAGTCGTGGCAAATCTTTGGAGACACCTCGTAGGTCCGCACCCAGAGTTCCAACACGACGACACCTGTCGAGTTTTGCCTGGCGGCTCGAGCCGCCACCCTGCGTCCGTCCACGAAGGACTTCTCAGACACGAGCTTTTGCAATTCAGGTACACGCTACTAGCGTCAGGACTGGTGGCGGCTCTCCTCAAGTACGGCCTGCACGCGGTGGACCTGTACCTGGACAGCCAGTGGGAGCTCAAGCCGGTGTGCATCTTCTACCTGGACCTCATGCGGGACCTCGTGCACCTCGTGCTCTACACCACGTTCTTCATCACCATCTTCAAGTGAGGCTCTACTGCTGATCCTCGAGGCTTCTCGAAGTCAGGCTGACTCAGAGCATGTTGATCGAAGACGTGCTCGGGGGCACGGAGAAACCTAGAAAGAAAAAAAACAAGGAACCACACGCTCCGCCCTCGTACTGACCCTGAGTTCGCAAATTTAAGAGGATGCATCCGCATGACGTCACAAAAGCGACCAGTCACACGCAAATTTCGTGGTCGCCGATGATCCATAGCATTACGATTAGGGAAGCAAGCATGAAAGGTCTTTCTGACATATTTGGTCGCCGCAGGACCACGTCTGCACAGCATTCTTTGTAAGAGGGTCTCGTGTCCTCCTGTTGTCTCTTCGATGCCTTTGTCGAGTGAAGTTGCACTTCTTGCGGCATGGCTTTAAAAACCTGTCCCGCAGCTAGTACAGGCTGCGGCTCCACCTGGTACGCTCTCTCTACAACACGTTTGCTGCGACGCGTTCCACGCTTTTAAAAACCCTTTTAGGATCTTTTGGACGTTTGAATGATCGTTGAACCGTTTCCTCGAGCGTCCGAATGACACTTCGTTCTGTCCGCAGCTACTATGGGCCGTACGACCTCAGATACAAAGTCTGCAAAAAACGCCGGACAACCGGATCCTCTTCTTGAGCGTCCGACTGATAAATGTGCTTTGTCCGCAGCTATTACGGGCTGCCGCTGCACCTTGTGCGCGACCTGTACGACACGTTCCGCACGTTCAAGCAGCGGGTCGCCGACTTTATGCGCTACCGCCGCCTCACCTCCAACATGAACGACCGCTTCGTGGACGCCACCCCTGAGGAGCTTGGCAGGTAGGGTTTGAAATGGGGTTAGAGTTTCACATCATGCTTCGGGAGTCAGTTGGAGATTGTGTAGCATCAATTGCCAGAAGGCCATGGCCGGTAAGGTGCGCTATGTTGCCTTCTCTGTGTCTGAGCTTTCAATCCCTGTTATGCTGTTGGTGCTCCGCATTAGACTTTCTGTCTCTCTGGAAGCGGACTTGTTGCCAAGACATTCAATCGACACCATTGAGCTTTTACTTACATCAGTGAGTTCTTCGATTAAATGGTTGGTAATCAATGTCACGAGCTGACCTCAATTTCGAAACCGACTCAAAACGTCAATTCCACACCGACTCAACCGCAACCCAGCCTGGCAAATGGTTTCAAATCATCCAGAGTCTCAAAATTTCCCAGCGAGGCACAAGCTACGGCTGCAAAACGCCGCACATCCGTTCTGCAGGGGCGACGCCACGTGCATCATCTGCCGCGAAGAGATGACGACAGCAAAGAAGCTGACGTGCGGCCACCTGTTTCACATTCACTGCCTCCGCTCCTGGCTGGAGCGCCAGCAAACGTGCCCCACGTGCCGCGCCCCCGTACTCCCCACCGGAACTCCGCCGCCGGCACCGGCCGCAGCAGGTGCCTCCTTCTTCTCCTAACTTGTTCTCGCTGTTTCATTGATCAGGTCGTTACTTCTCTCACTTTTCGAATCCCTGATCGTTAGAATCTGCATTTAACAGTTTGGTAATGTGTGTTGCCCCAATGCCCAAGTTGTGATTTTTTCTATCCTTTTTTTTTGCGAAAGCTACCCAGCCCTTTAGATTTACCTACTCTGCTACCCTACGTCGTTGAGCATGTAGAATGTGCGTGAATGTTGGCTGTATGCTTTCTGTACGTGTGCCCTCGTGTCCATTCTGTAATTCTTGCATATCCTTGAAGCAACACTGCGAGCACGTCCAGATCTCAGCTTAACAAAGCGGCTTATTTGATGCTGCATTGCCCCGATGCTGATGACCGTCCTTAACTCACCCTGCAGGTGCAGCCCCGCCCCACGTACACGCTCCAGGGGGGCACGGCCCCCAGCCTGCGCAACCCCCCGGCCAGGCGGGAGCAGCTGCCCCGCACCCCCCTCAGCATGGGGAGCCTCGGGGCCACAGGGTTCAGTATGCGGTACAGTTTGCGATTCCGTTGGGGGGGCAAAATCAGCAGCAGAGGCAGCAGGGGGCGGGAATACAGTGGCAGTACCCGCAGGCTTGGTGAGGAGACCAATGCTTTGGAGCTTGCGCTTTCGAGAGGTCTCACTTGGCGTTGGTTTCAGTAGGGCACACGAGCTTCCGTTTTGAAGGGTTTCCTTGCTCGAACATTGTAACAACTGGTCGGCATTCATTTTGACTTGCTTTCTCTGGCCCAGATGTCCTGCTTTTTTCGCCGGGGCATCGAATCAGCTCCCGCTGGATCTCCTTCATTTCTAACGGCCGGGCAGCCACCTACCCTGTATTCTCTCTCGCTCCGACCGTTGCTCACTTTGACTTGCTTCCACCCTTGTGCTATGCACTGCCCTCCAGTCGGCAATCATCTACCCCCCCAAACCGCAACCTCCCCCTCCCCTCTCCAGGCCCCAGGCTCCTGCGCCAGCCGTCAATATCCCCCCCGCCCAGCAGATCCCTCGGGGGGCTCTTGCTGCCGCCGTGGGCGTACAGCTCCAGTTCCAAGCGCTAGCGGCGAGCGCCGCTCTCGCCAGCCTGGCGTCAACCGGCCCCTGGGGGGTTTTGGCGGCTGCCGGGCAGGGGCAGACGGCGGAGGGTCGCGCAGCAGAGATTGCCGCGCTGAGATCGCATGCGCAGGTAAGTGCGACCGGTGGGGTTTACAGCGGGTAGAGACGGTTTGCAGCGTTCCAGTAGGATTCCCTGCTTGTGCTTCCACGGTTTTTGAAAACTTATTTGCGGACGCTTTCCGGGTGAGACTGGGATTTGTGGGAGCTTATGATGTTCTTGGGTAGTTCCAGTAACGTGGACACCAGGCCGAAGGAAGCAGGTTTCTTTGGCCACCTCAGCTGTTCTGCCGACTCGTCTTGCGCGTAAATCAGTCGAACCATGGGTTAAGGGCCAATTGCTGTGCATCCGGCTTGACGATGCATTTGGTCCTAGCACTGTCGCATGCGGTCGGTTTGTAAGCCCCTTGCTAATTAAGCTGGACATTTCCAAGACGCTTTCGACCACGGAAGTGGTAAGCGAAGCCATGCAGCGCATAAGGAGGGGGTCAAGCCCTTCGATATCGAGGTGCCAAACGACCCCGTCATGTGGGCTCTTCTGGGTCATTGGCCTGTCATCCCCGGCGTACCTTTGATTCGTTGAGCGAAGGCCCTTCCAAAGGAGGCGACAGCCTAAGCACTGACATGGGAGGCCAATCTCACTTGCGAAGTTACTACTGGGGTAAGCGCCCACGGCTTCACTAGAAAAACATTCAACATTTTCCTGAGTTTTGAAGCCAAGTTTTGTGTTGTGCAGCTTGTGCAAGCCCGATTGGACGAGCTGGTGCAACAGGAAAGGGCCGCCGGCGGCCAAGGGGAGCCCCAGAGAAGCGAGCAAACGCAAACAGACCCGCCGCGGAGGGATGGAGTTGCAGAGGGGACGAACGCGGGAGAGGCCTCGAAGGCGGCGGAGACCCAGCCTGCCGCTTCTACCTCTGCATAAGCTGTTATTGGGTGCGACGATAGCAATGCCCATTGTGATGCAAGGTTGTTTGTTTCTGACGGAGGAACGAACATGTAGATCAACAGCCACGTGAATTGAAAGCCTGTTATCAGGACTTGTGTTTGCGAACCCTCGTTGATGGACCAATATCACCCAGTTGCCCGTTGTGTGGACCCACCATGTGGTCGAACTACGAGGTGAGTGGTCGTACATACATGCGGCACTCGACAACAATCTAAAAACAACAGTCGAGTCGCATATGAGATGATCACGCTTGTATAGACGATGGTCAGCAAGTGATGTAATATTGGGCGTGTATGTGCACTTAGCGATGCATGGCAATGATGCAACTTACACACATATCTTATTCTCCAAGCGTCTGACAACAATGCTATACCGGTTCCATTGTGTATATTCTTGCACATGGTAGGCCCCTGGACTACAACACGACGTACCCGGCGTCGGGCAGTGACGCTAGATTTTAGCATGCATGCTTGCGGTCATGCAGCTTTCACGAGCTAGCTAGACGCCAATCGGCTTGGCGCGGCTGCCCAGATTCTCTCAAGTGACTTCTGTCAACCATATTGGCATGTTGCGGCATGCTGAATCGCATGATCGATGCATGGCCGCGTCGCGATCTGTCATATGTCATCAAATTCCCATAGCGTTGTTGAAGTAGCGTGCAACCCCGCCTCTAACTCCGCCCGGTTGCTTGATGGAAAAGTGATCGGGGAGTTTGGGCCGAGATTTGTTTCGAGGATAAGGCTAATCAAAAGTCGACACCTGTCCGGGGTCGAAACCTGGTGCCAACTAGAAGCATCAATGATTGGTACTTTCAAGAAGTATGATCTGCCCGGTTGATGTGTATATTTTTAACCGGGTAGCCCGGTCGCGCGCTATGCAGCACACTACCGGCAGATTTTAGGTTGTAGGCTAGTCTGCGGTAAGGTATAGTGTCTACGATCCCGGGCCTCGGCAGAGTTGACCCCCGTACCCGGTGGATGGGAAAATGGAGTTAGAAGTTGAACCTATTGAGGTCTGTCTACCCAAGAACCACAGACCGGACCAGATCTACCTACTGTGAGTGACGTCATCTATAGGTCTACCGTCCGCGTAAAGGTGTGTACCAGTAGACTTAGGGGCTATTCGCATGCCACCGCTATCGCTACATTATCGCTACATTCTGGCGGAAAACCGAGAAAATTACCATCGCATGCACCCTTTTCCGCTTAAACCAAAACTTTCGCACGCACGGAATCCCGCTACATTGTAGCGATTCCGCTACATTGTATAACCGGCCATATACATTCTACAGATTGTAGCGGGTTCCGCTAAAAGCCGCCGTGGCACATCGAACGGCCACGATTCAATAAAGTTTGTACCCCTCCCTCGCCTGCCAGCCTCCCAGGCTTCTCCGAGTCTGTTTCCAGCGGGGCTGGTCCACCCGGTGTCCGGGACCGGCCGGCCGGCCGTGCACGTGGAGCTCCGGAATCCCGGAGGTTTGCGGTAATGTCCAATTCGCGGAAAGGCATGCGGCCGCTATTCCGTTACCCGGGCTCGGATGAAGAGCCACGTGGTTCCGCTAAAGCCCCGTTAAAATTTTAGCGGAACGGTGGCATGCGAATAGCCCCTACACTACTACACTACTACACAAGTAGGCCTATAGGTAGTAAGCTTCCAAGGCTACATTAGTAGTAGCCAGTGTGCAGTGTTCAATTTTTTACCAACGGTTCTATACCGCAGACCGCGCGGTACGGCCGGCGGCCCAAATAGTAGTACCGGGTACCCATCATACGGGTACCATGTCAGAACTGTCAGAACTGGCCCCTTTAACTTGATTTTGGAGCCAGACTGTGTCAGATTTCGGTCCAAACTGGGAGCGATTGACACTATCAAACTTCTCAAATTGGCTGAGAGCTGCGACCGCCGTCGATGCGAATATCTACGGCGAAAATAGCCTTATCCCAATAATCGAATCCGAAACCGAATTTGTTGTGGTGGCTTCTACGGCCTCCGAGTTAGAGGCGGGGTCGCGGGCTTCTTCAACAACGCTATGTCCGTGTTGTCTAGCTAGCGCCGCCCTGGCATGCAGTGCACAGTACTGCATGCCTTATATACAGCACGCATACAGTCCGACTTGTGGAGGTACAGCCGGGTCGAGGTGTAGCCCCCTCATTGGCCGAGCGGGCCGGCCGCGTCTAGAGGCATTGCATGACATTATTGCCTTCTTAACCATTAAACTGTTTTGAGTCATTCGAAGGATTTGTATAAGCCGTGGGCAAAGGGTCGACCTGATATCTTGAGCGGTGGCCAAAGCTTCACGTTTGCAACCATGTGCACGCAGGCTTCGCCATCACGCGTCTGTCGCATGAGGTAAAGTGTCTTGTGGAATCATGCATGTCTTGAAAATTGCGGAGTGATTACGAGATTTGAACTCATCTTTCCGGAGGGGCAGCTATCCGCGTGGCACGTTCTATGAATTGACACAATTCTTGTTGGCAGCTTCTTGTACAGAACGGGTCAGAGTTTGTCACCCCATCGCCGCTGAAGTTACTTCCAGCAGCACCAATATTATTGCTTCTTGTGTTTTCTTAAATGGAGCAGACGAGCAGCGTGACGGCTTGAAAACAGACGGCCTTTCCCTTGCTTTGCCAAGTCTCTGCAACCAACAAGAGCACGGAAATCAGCTGATAAAAATGCAATGAATGCCTTTTTGGCAATAGCCCCCGCAAGAAGCTAAGGCTGAAAGAAACAGATTGACGCTTCCCTACGCTTGCTCAAAGATACGTCTTTCCATCCTCTTCTATATATACTTTCATTCGCTCGACCTTTTGAGGTTTGGGTTTTCGTGAGCAACTTCTGGACTGAAACACAGCGCTGGCGGTTGATTACCGCCACGATTGACTCCCACCGACCATTGAGGCTGAATGATCGGTGATAGTAGAAACGCAAAGCAAACCTCGTAGCTCCTCCCATGCTGGTCTCTTCTTCTTCCTTTTCTTTTTTTTCTTTTTTTTTTTTTTGAAGGCACAACTGACAACCTTATGCAGAAGTTTTGACACTGACAATGCTCGTGGATTCTTGCTAGCTCGAAAGAACCCTCAATAGAAGGCCAGTCGCTAACAACATTTTTGCACGATGTGCAGGCATCAAGCGCAATTCACAGTGGACCGTTTAGCTCAAAATTAACGCACAAAGTCGAGGCTTGAAAGTGATCCTCAAAGTTGGTCAAACGAGCATTAGGCTTTGCTTACACAAGTCGAGGCTTGAAAATGCTTGCCAAAGTCGGCCATTTCTAAATAACAATCTCAAAGTGCGGACGATTTATTTCACTTCACTTGAGGCTTGATATGCTCCTCAAAGTCGGTCTTCTCGATGATACCCTCAGTGCGCGGCCGATTTCAGCAACCCGGATTCGACGATCGGCCTCACCTTTGGTATAGAAAGAGCCCCGCATAGAAGAGCGCCAGCAGGATTGCCCCGAGGCCTGCGAGTACGAAGTATCTGGCCCCTCGTCCGCGCTTCTGCAAGGAACATCCGAACACCTGTCTCGATCTAGTTGTCCAGCAATTACGAGGCACGAATGTTTGACCAAGGCGGAACGAGGAAACGGGTGTACGCTAAGTACGGTGTTTCACAAATACAAGTAGGCACTCCAACCACATGTTCGGAGACCCAGAAGAAAGGGACTCTTAAAAATCGGGCATAAGAAGAACGACGCGGTTGCAAAGAGGGGGATGTCCCCAAAGAAAGTTTGGGGACTCGATCCGTCCTGAGACGAGTGCTGCGCAGTCAAACTCCTGGTCTAGGAGACCCTCCGAAATTTGGTTGTCAAAGGGCCAAAAGCCCCGAGAAAGAGGCGCCCATTTCTGCGGACAAAACTGAGAAGTTGCACGAGAAAGTCCTGTCGAGACATTACAGATGGAACCGCAGACAGCAGCAGTTCTGAAGACGGTACCGTGCAAAGGAGGTCCGTTCCGCGAGGGGACATGCCCTCTTCCCCCGGTCGTAATCCACGGTTTATCCATGTTTTTCGTTTCGGCCGCTGGACTTGTTGTCAAAAACGTGTGTCCAACGTGCGGCTTCAATTGAGAATGCGTATCAAGATCTCAACCTAACCCTCGAACCGCTCAAATGCTTTCGAGAGGATGCAGTCAGACAGGAACGAGAGCTGAACGTCAAACCAGCCCAAATCTTCCATCAGAACCACCTAAAATTGAATTGCTAAAAAGCCCCGTTTATGCTCACCTGCTGACCCTCGGGGAAGAGCTTCCGGCCCTCGTGGCAAGTGTGCGCGTCACAGAACTGCCGCTGGAAGAACTCTGAGAGCGGAAAGCAACAAGAGGAGATGAGTCGTGGCAATTCTTGACCCATCTGACGAGCTGCTCTCGTCCGGAGCTTTTCATCAACATCCCAACTCCGTCTGCATAAACCATTTCCTTTTGATTGGCAACCCCTCATACTACTTTGGTGTAAGATTTGCGCGAGGAAGTCTTGGGTCCAAGAAAGCCCTGAAGGCAGACCAAGACCCGAACAGAAGCTAAACAAGGACCGAATCTAAGCTGATTGGGTAGCCCAACTTCCTGCAACAAAGCAAAGCCAGTGCATTGCAGACTGCCGCACTGCTCAAGCATGTTCTCACCGTTCATCTTTTGACCTAGCGGTTGATCTGGAGGAAAGCAAGCTTCGCTTAGGGCCTGCACGACAGGGTCTCAATTAGTTGCTCCAAAGTCTGCTCTTCCAGCGACTTGACAGATGCTAACGGCAAATTGTTGTTAAATACTTCGATGCAACTTCCTGAAAGCTTCCCAGATGGTTCTCCTCGATCCTTGGCAAATCTATGTCTGTTGCATGTTTTAGCCTGAACGCACTCCAAGTCGTTAAGTAATCGCAGAAGGTCTGTCTCGACGATCGAGTTAGGTGATTAGATCGCAACTCGAAAAAGCTCTCGGTTCGGTTTTGGTGGTTCTCAGCAAGAGACTTCGTCTCGCGTGTGAAAGGTAAGGAGGGTGAGATTGTCCCCAACGGATTGCTAGGCCAGTCGAATCTTTCAAGCTCAACAGGTGTCGAAGTAAAGAACAAGACAGCTCTCATCGCAGAGAGTCTTCACCCGTCAGATTAGTTGTCATTTGTGCTTTGCCATCGTGGCACTTTGTGTGCCTGCAAATCACAAAACCGTCACAATCCCCCCTTCCACACATAGTAAGAGATCGAGTCAGCCGACACGATGTTACTTCGGCCCAACGTACAATCCTGAAGCCCTCTTGACTGAAAAGAAACGCCGAAACCTTGATTTTGCAAGATACAAGCCCTCACTTTCTAGACCGCGTAAAGGCTTACAACTGACCTGACACAGGTGTTTTCGCCGCTGCGCATCTTGTTCTTGACAGGATGGCGGCGCTCGCTTCTGCACCGCCCTCTCAACCGCATCACAATGCAGGATGTCGCACAGGTCGGCAAGACAAACGGTCGCGCCCTGCGGAGAACGGGGTGTTCTGAAGGCGTAACCCTTGACGGTCTGTTATAGGGTCCCTTTTGCATTCATAACATGGTGGCCGAAAAGAGATCCAGAAGAAACGTGTTTCCTAGCATGTCTTGCTTATAAACGGCAGTGGTCAATCAGCTTTTGAAGCTAACGAAATTGCACCATTCCAACCAGTCTCCGTCTCCTCTTTGCAAGTCCTTGCATGGAGGTTCCCAGAGCAAAAGCGAACACTCAACTTCTTTATACCCCAACTTTCAACCATCAAAGACAATGCAGGTCTTAATGGAACACAATTCATCCCCCCTCCTACCGGGTATACAACCTGCGGATGCCTGTTCCCCATGTGTTTGTCAATATACTCTTCCTCCCGGAACATCTTGCGGCAGATGCGGCACTGCCAAAGGCCGTTCTCTTGCTCCACCTTCTCCTCTTCTTGTCGCAGTAACATGTCGTTCTCTGGATGGAGTCGGCATCGTTGAGGGTCGAGCCTGAAGCGTGCTGTGTCAATCAGGGGGAAGAGGTACTGCAAAATCAAGCAAGCCCTCAATTGGCTGTTGATGCAGAAACAAATCATGTAGAATGAAGCACTTTTTCAAGGAGTTGATTAGCCTGAGAAGTGACTTGGAAGCCCCGTGCCAACCTGAAGCAACCTGGAGGGCAGTTGTGGCGGTCCGAAAGCGGGTACCGTGGAGAATACTCAAGTCTTCTTAAAAGCTGCTCCCAGTCAAGGGACACTTTAATCAACAGAATGCATGGAACGTCGAAGTCATCCTGAATCCGAATGGGGCTCTGTTGATCTCTTCCACCAGACACCCTCATTCCTCATTTCATCTGAATGGGATTTCCAGTACCTGATTCAGCAGCTCACGCGCCAGCCTGGTTCTCTCTCTGTCGCATAGTTCTGCTCCCCCTTTGGCATCTTCTCGAATCTCCTGCTGCGATTCACCTAGAACCAACACTGCCGCCAGTGCGAGCAAGCGGAGAGCTCGAACAACGTTGCTTTGATTGGCAGATACCATTTGTTACCTCTTATCAGGAACTGGAGCTGCTACAAGCTGGCAGAAACCCAATTCAAAGCCTATTAAGTACCATATAGTCAATGAGGCAGGAAGGTTTGTGCTGGTATTAGCCGGCGCCGTTCACCGAGAACCCGACATTTTTCGACAGTGACTTCTGCTTGCTTGGAAAACGTCAAGGAGAGACAATCTAAATTTGTGAGAGGTCCCTGCACTTCACCAATGCGATAGCGCTCACGTCGCTGGTCCCCTCAATCACCCTGCGCTTGCTTCTTCTTGCACATTTATTTTGTCAAAATTGAGTATCGCAAGAAAAAGTTCAAAGTGATCCCCCCTTTGCGCCAGGAAACGGCGCTTTGATCGCCGGTCATGTCGGCACAGAATTAATACTCAGGGCCCAAGCCATATTATCAGACCTGGAGGTTTCAAGCAACGATGCCGGCTCCCTGCCGCCGGCACCTCGTCAAGTCATTATAGGGGCACACACACAAAGATTATACCGTATTCGAAATTCCCTATGCAGCACTGGCAGAAAAGGGGACGTGCTAGCCAGCTTTTGCCAGCATTCAAAGAGTCGCAGCTGGGAAGCGCCTCAAGACGATTCCCTGAAGGATGGCGGACGACTTCTACGGCGACGAGCAGGAACCTGAGGACCTCCAGAAGGAATGGAGAGCCCGGGAAGCGCAATTCAAGACTGTATCCTCCATTGCTGGTCTTCCGACTTTTGCAAGCTGTTGATTTGGTTCCAATGTAAAAAACGATTGCTCGATTGAGACATTTGTGCATGAGGCAAGCTGCTCAACACTGCAATTCATCCGAAAAAAACAGGTCCTTCTGAGTGAGAAGGAAAGTAGCAATATTTGGAAGTTGTCATGGTGGAAACCTCACAAGGCTCTACATCACTGACCTGTAGAAAAGGTGCCTGATATTTGACTCCCTGGAGACAGAAGCAAGCAGCTTGAAAGAAGGGAATTGTGGCGAGCGTGTGCTGCTGAGCTCATTACTGCTGCGATTATGAAACTTGCACTGCCTCCAGGACCACATTGTCCAGGACCTTGCCCTATTCTCATTTACTCATCCATATTATAACCGCTCCTGTCAAGAAAAGCAAGCAAAAGAGGTTGAAACAACGTTGGCTCTTGTGTTTCAACCTGCTTCTTGTTGACGTGCGGTTTTGCAACTGATCATGTGTCCGTCTGCTGGCATGTGCTTAAACAGATGTTGGTTGATCCAGAGCAAGACCTTTTTGTGTTTTGTGTGCTTGAACTTGCCTTCATTCGACTTCGATATGGTATCCTTGACATCAATCAAATCCAGCTGGGTTACAGGGACGGAGTCACAGCCGGAAAGGACCAAACTCTGCAGCAGGGGTTTGAGCAGGGCTTCAAGGAGTCTGTCCAACCAGGATTCGATTGGGGTCGAGCGAGGGGCGCGGCTAGGTGAATTGCAGTTTTTGATTCTCAACTTTGCCTGGACACCGCAGACTGGCTGTTAGACGCGTCACGTTCAGCCCTGCTTCGGCAGAAACGTTCCAGACAAAGTTGGTATCGTCACGAGAATGTAGTCACGAATCAGAGGTGGCGTTCGTCAGAATGGGACCTCCAACTGCGGTGAAGGGATCGGGCCCAAGACGAGAAAGGGACAATCTCAATGAGGACTGTCACCTTTGGAATGAAAGTTGGGTGCATTTCTGACTCGTTGTGTGTCTGGAGGTTGGAACGGTGGAAGATCGATGAGAAACACGACGAGGAGGTTCGTTTTGCGGTTTGTTTTCAGATCAGACTTCTTTTCGTCTGGTTGCAGTGCTCTGCGGACCCTTGGGCCGAATGCCAGCCTGCTCGTCCGGCCAGATGCGGAAGGCGAGCTTGCTGAGGTCAGCGCGAGCATCGCGGCCATCTCGACGGAAGATGCTCTAAGGAGTTTCTCCGGGGCCGCTCTTTCCTTGCAAAGAGGTAGCGATACGGGATCGAACATAGGAAACGTTTTGGAAAATGTACATGGGGATGCTTTGCGGGCTTCCAACCAAACGGAAGGTGCAACGTCAAATTCGAGAACAGTCGGTCGTGCTGACTCGGAATCAGTAACACATACAGTGGGTGAGCCTTTAGAAAGAGCAGTTGGGGCCATGGGCCTGCACACGACTGGAGAAAAGGTGCGGCTAGATCCCACTCAAACCGAACAGATGCTGAGGACGCTAGAAGCTAAGATATGGTCGGTTGTAAGTGTGTCGCCGGAGTGATCGCCGGGTAGTCGAAGCCGTATCTGCATCCGCAGAGTTGGTTGCATCAGATTTACTTTATCGAGTCACAAGTATGGTAGTGCTTTTTTCGTCGTTGCACTTGGTTCGATCATGTTCGACAAGCATCTGTCAGCTGTTCCTAGGCCTCATTGGGATTGCTGAACTGAGCGTCGTTTGAGCTATGCAAAACCGGGTCACGTGAACTCCATGCTGCATACGTAGAGCGGCAATGCATCATAGTCGCTATCGATCCTGGTGGAACACTTTGCATCAGCCGTCAAGTAAACCACCATGATTCCCCTAAGAAGATTCATGATTGCGCGTCGGCCACTTAACACTGTGATGATGCGTCTCACCATCTAAACTCAGCTCTTGCGTACGCAGATGTGCAGACTCGAGCTTGATCATGCCACGTGATGGTGTGTGTTTGCCATGCACGCCGACGCAGCCTACCACTGCAGACCATGGGCTTATATGCACCACTAATTCTTCACTTCCCGGTCCTGCATAGGGACGTATACATCTTGTATACATGCATATGCGCTGGTATATGAGACACGTCTGCAGCTAGCCCGGCAGGCATATGCGTTGACAGCCGCAGCATCAAAGGCTGTGTCTGTCTAAAGTGGACTGGCCATTGCCGCCCGGTCTTGCGATAAGAAATACTTCTGGATTTCCGCTATCTTTCTTGCAGATTTCCGTTCATTAAGTTGTAGCCAACCAAAGTGCCTCACATCAAAGCCAGTCCTACTTCTTCCAACGACTCACTGTCTACAACTTTTCTGTAGTGTCACTAATTGGACGAATTAATGCTGGTATGCCAAAACGATGTGTGTTCGTGAATGCGGGCTAACCTCTCAGCGGACCTTCCAGAGTAATCTGTACGCTCAAGAGTCTCAGAAGCTTGCTCTTTTATCACCGTCGTTCGGATTGTGCACGTCCAACGTCAAGAGAGGGATGTCTTCGTCCTTCTTCTCAACGTCCTCCTTCATTGACGCCACAGATTCAGCAATCAGGCTCTCCCGGTAAGCGCAGTAAAGCGCGATGCTCAGTGCAGGCCCCAGCACACTAAGGGTAGCTCCGACCATCACGCAAGAAGCCACGATTGGCCCGTCCTCAAGGAAGGAAAGATAGATGTATGACACCGTCAAACCGATGACGTCTATCAAGAAGAACCAGGCGGCTGCTTCCGGAAAACCAGAGCTTGCTCGTGTCGTTAGAATCGTCAGGAGCTGTGAGAGGAGAGAAGGATCTTCGTAGAGCGCGAGAAGGGTAAGCACACGCCCAGCCAAGGCTGTGATGGCCACAATTGAGTAAGCCATGTGTGCCATGTCGTTTAATGAGAACTCTAACGTGCTGATTTTCTGTCGACCAAGCTGCATAAGGTAAAGCGTTGCGCGCTGAAGGTAGGTCCGCATGAGAAAGATGAGCAAGAAGGATATCTGAAGGAAAACCTCGAAGACCTGCAGGGCGGCTTGAAAGTAAGAGAGATTGTCGCAGGGACACTTGGTCATGTTGCTGACGGCCATTACAATGGGAGCCAGGATCAGGTACGGAATGTTGACGCAGACTGCGAAGATCATTGGGGTGAGAGACTTCGTCTCGTTGGACTCCTCCCCTCTGCCTTGGATGAAGTAGGGCAGCCACACACCACAGAAAGACACGCAACTGCTGTTGACCAGTGCCGAGGCCAACTGATGCATGGGGACTCTTGCGAGTTCCTGCGCCCAGTTTGCTCCCTTTCTGCAACCCTCGATTCCGCCATTCAGAGCACAGACCAACAGCAGGAAGCAAAGCTCCCCAACTATCAGAGGACCAGCGGGGGTCTGCATTGCAGCCTCAACGATTGCCCGCACAGAAAGGTAGATCTGTGACAGGACTCCGCGCGCATTGCTGCTGCCCTCTTGTGCGCTGATCTCCTGAAAAGAGCGGATAAGTATCGGGATCCTCAAGCTCAGGCAGAGTGCGCAGATCACAACCAGAGGCGCGCATGTCAGGAGGTGACGCGTCTTGAGATGCGCCATGAGGGCGACACTTCGAGCGCAGCGGAACCGATTCCTTCTTTTCGGCGCTGCTGATGGCCTCAATAAAGCCTACAACAAAGTCTTCCAAGAGTTTGCTTGCGGCCGTCGAACAAAGCGCCTGCACTTGTTCATCTAAGATTCTGATTGAAAGCAGCGCCCTGGCGAAATCGAAAGATGGTCTTGCTTTGCAGTGCAGTAGAAGGAATGTTTGTCGATCTCAGCTTCGTCACTTGCATGCTGAGCAAACTTCGACAAGTGTATACTTACATCTGGCACTGGTAAGACCACCATGCACGTGGCATCAATCGATCGGACGGTCCAAACCGTGACGGAATAAGAAGCCTCAACGGCGTGCACTTCGCTTCGATCCGCACTGCAGACTGGCTCTTAGATGCGTCACATCTCGCCCGAAGTGCTCCGAATAGAGTTGGTATAGTGGTATTGCCGCGAGAACCTAGTCACGACTTAGAGGTGGCAAGTTCATCAGAGTGGGGAATTCAACTGCGTGTGAGGGGATCAGGCCCAAGATGGAAAAGAGACTAGGACGAAGGATGACTGTCAGCTGGGGAAAGTAAGTGGGTCCACTCTTGATTGACTCCACGTCTGGAGAGTCAAGAGGTGGAAAAATGAGGAGAAAACGACGAGGTGAAAGTCCTTCTATGTGGACATCCTGTTGCGGTTTGTTCTCGGAACAAAAGTTTGTCTCGTTGCAGTGCTCTGCGGACCCTTTGGTCGAAGGCCACCCTGCTCGTCCGGCCAGATGCAGAAGGCAAGCTTACTGAGGTCAGCACGAGCAGCGCAGCCATCTCGACGGAAGATGCTCTGAGGAGTTTCTCCACAGCCGCTCTTTCCTCACAAACAGGTAGCAATTTAGAACCGAGCATACGAAACGTTTCGGAAGGTTTACATAGGGAGGAGTTGCGGGCTCCGAGCCATGCGGATTGTGCAACGTCACATTCAATAGTAGTAGGTCCTGCTGGCTCGCAAAGGGTAGAAAACAGAGCGGATAATTCCTTAGAAAGAGCAACTGGGGCCTAGGGCCTGCACACGGCTGGAGAACGGCTGGCTTCAACACAAGGCGAACAGATGCTAAGAACGTTAGAAGACAAGATCTGGTCGATCGTAAGTGTGTCAGCAGAGTGATCGCCGGCTACTCGTAGCGGTACCCGCGATTGAATCTGTTGCACTGTACTTCATCAAGTCACAACACATGGTGGTGCATTTCTCGTCGTTGCACTTGTTGTGTCATGTTTGACAAGCATCGGCTAGCTGATCCTAGGCCTCACTGAATTTGCTGAAAGGAGCTTCATTCGAGCTATGCAGAACCGGGTCACATAAACTGAATGCTGCATACGTGGGTGGCAACCATGCATAGTCGGCCAAAAGCACCATCCTCTTATTCATGAGTACCTAGTATGAGGCCACATGAGCGTCGCACCAATGATCTGAACTCAAAGCTCTCATGACGCGGATGTGCAGAGCTTGACTATGCCACGTGATGGTGTGATTTTCCATGGCGGCACGCCGACGCAGGGACCAGGGGGCGTCAATGCACCGCTAAATCTTCATCTCTTGCGTAGGGACTTTTCATCTCTTGCGTAGGGACTTTCGCATGGATCGTATGCGCCTGTTATATCATACACGTATGCAGCTACTGCGGCACGCATCTTAGTCAACAGCGGCAGCTCTAAGAGCTTTCTCTTTCCAAAGTGGGCTGGCAATTGAAGCGCATGAGAGCCAAACTATGGTTCATTTCCCATGCGCACGTGCAGCACCGTGAGACAGCTCGTGAGGCGGCTGCAAACTGGCAGACATGACATCCCAGCTAGACGACCAAGCAGTTCACGAAGGCCGTCAATTGGTCGGAGACTGGCATAAGATAAGGAAGAGCATCAGCTTGACTCAAAGGCAGATTCACGATCCGACCAATCAGATGTAGGCAGGTTGATCGATTTGACCTAAGCTCTGTGTATACTGAAGCGAGTAACGATTGAGTTTTACAGAGCCCTTCTTATCAGTATGACTATGACGCGCGCTAGAACGTAGGCCGCGAACTTCCTCACGCTTTGAACCCTTTCGTACTCCATAGCGCCTTTTCTCAGGCCACAGAACCACTCGAAGGAACGGCAAACATTCCAGAGCCGCCCACGCCGCAAGTGGCCGAGCAGTCTCCCGCCTCACTCCAATTTCGTAGCAAAGCGGCTTCAGCTGCCGCTTCCAGTCGGGTGATGCCACGGATGCCCGGCATGTGGTTTCTGCACCAGACAAGAAAACTGAAATGTGTTTTTGGGAGTTGCGGTGCATGATCGAAGGAAGCGTGCAAGGACGACCTAGGCGAGTTCGAGCAAAGGAACGGAACGGTTAAGGTGAAGAATCAGTGAACGTTTCACGGACAATTCATTTTGTGAAATCAGATATTTGTGTGTGGATCACTACACCGGTACCATGTTTTTGATCTTTAATCTGGGAGGCCCAGCCTGGGAGGCAGTATTCACCTTCTGAACGGCCGTTTCGTGCTCAGCTTTTGATGACTGAAAGCACCCTCAAGTGTTCCGTTGACGACATTGTGACGGCGAAAAGTTCCAGCCGAGACCGCTTGATCGAGATCATTAAGATGCAGATGACTAAAACGATGACGAAACGGCGCGCAGCAAGATAAGGGGACCGATAAATGCGGAAAGAAAAGAGATAAAGTTGGATCAGAGAAGAAGAGAGCTCAACGCCGATCTCTCACCTGTCTGCTCCCCAAAAGCACCGGTAGACCTCGACGCCCAGTTCCGCCGCACACAGCGCCAGCATCATCGTCAGCACCGGAAGCAAAACCGTCGGCAGGCCGTTCGCGGCCGCCCACGCGGCCGCGACCAGCAGCACGGCCCCCAAAACCTCGACGAGGTTTGGGCAGCGCCGGTACGCGAAGCGGGGGTGCAGAATTACCATCCGGCCGTCGCCACGTGCCCACCCCGAGAACGGACTGTAGTCCCGAGCGCCGTTCCGCCACCAGGGATGGCGGGCGACTGCGCCCGGAACCGGAACCAGGGGCCACCGGAGCAGCCGGAGGCAGAAGTCGACGTCCTCGCCGCCACCTGGCGGGGGGGGCAGTGCAGAAAAGCGAATATGTATGGGGACTCGGTGCGTGAACAGCGAGGATCGCTAACATTTCAGCGAAGTCTGCGATGTTGTTCTTGGCAGGTTCGATCGAGGGATGGATCATTTCGATTGTTGGCGAAGAGCATTCCTGGAGGACGGCTTGCTCATCATTTTCGAGGTTGTTCTGCATTGACGCCTTGAGTAGCTTCATGGCACCAGCTTGGGTTCCAAAGGTCTGAGAATTTCTACCGTTCCGGAGACTAACACGCTCCCAAAACTCCTCGAATCTGGAAAGTTGCCACGAAATATAAACCC